CCATCACTGGCGTACTGATGGGGGGGGGGGGGGTTTGGGGACAGTTCCCCCCCCCCCCCACCCTCCCCAAATGAAATTCAAACATGTTTTTAATTCGTTACCAGAGATTCACAAATGATGCTGAAATGGAATGGTTTTCCCTGAGCTTCCGGGGTTCTGCCCCCTGAACCCCACCAAGGGCCCTAGGGCGGGCCACTGAATGCTTATCTGACCGTAATTAAATGCCTAAAACCCCTAAGCTTCTGGGGGCTCTGCTCCCTGGACACCACTCCAACACCACTCCAATAAATTCATAAATTTGAGGTCTGATTTTTTACCAAGTTAGTCAATGTATTTTTTATGACATGAAGAATGCGATGCATATATATTTCAATATTTCTAATGTTCACCTTATAATATTCATATTTGTATTGCAATGTATCTTTGTATTGTATCAGCATGTACATAATTGTTTTCCCTCTCTGTCCATCTGTCCCCTTTCACCCCCCCTCTCTCTCTCTCTCTCTCTCTCTCTTTCTCTCTCTTTCCTTTTCTCTCTCCTGCTTTCCCATCTCTCTTTCTTTTTTAACTCAAATTTTTAACTTGAAATATTGTATAAGATTAATGGTATAACACGCTCTTCATAATTATGTACTTCATAATTATGAAGAGCTACTAGATTGTAGTGTGACATCTTGAAATGTATACTTGCTTCTTTCCAGCAATTTACTCAAGACATGTGCAATTCAGTTACTTTTTACTGTGGTATCTCTTAAAATGTATAATTGTCTTCACCATCAATGTTTTATTCATGCACAATTCAGTTACTTGTAACTGCGATACATGGAAATGAATCAATAAATACCATTTATCTATCTATCTATCTGTCTATCATACCAGTGTCACAAATAAGGTATCAACATAATGGTCATCTGACCGTAATTAAATGCGTAAAACCCCTGAGCTTCCGGGGGCTCCGCTCCAGGACCCCACTAGGGATCCTATAGTATAAGGCGGACTCCTGAATGCTCATCTGACCGTAATTAAATGCTTGAAACCCCTGTGCTTCATGGGGCTCCGCATCTTGACCCCGTCGGGGCTTTGCCCCTTGACCCTACGCCAATTTACGCTCCACTTGCTTCGCCCACTTTGAAAAAACGTTTCGCGGGGCCTGCATGTAACATGTAAAAGTGGTGGTGATGCGGATTTTTGTTCTGCCCCCCCCCCCTCCCCTAATCAGTTTTGCTCATTACGCCACGAGTTGATATCGCATTAATGCAAACCCTGTATAGATTCATTAATATTGATCGATGAAAGTGAAAGGTAATTATGAAATATATGTCAATTGATGATGATGATATTAGTCCCTCATATATTGGTTTACAATGTGATGATACATTAGTCATTATATGCGCTTCAGTTTTTATTTTTAGTAATGATAGTACTTTATTTAAGCATGTTTAAACTCTTAGTCACATGATCATGGTGTGTGAAAGCAGGAAATGTTTTCTTTTTAGTGAGACATTTTTAAAAGTAAAAAAAAATACAAATTATTTATCTTACTAAATAACAATTCCATTCGTTAATTGTCTTAATCATTGCATTTTCTTGACACCTATAGTAAGATCCCTTTGGGTGAAGGTCCATATGGCCATGATGGCCTATTTCGTTTCTTAATTCTTTGAAATCAAAACTTAAGGTTTTTTTTATTCATATACTCTACAAAATAATTAATCCATCCCAACTTTTATAACTTTTAAACTTTTATAACTTTTAAACTCTTTTTTTGCCATAATGTCACTAAGCTTTTCTTATTCTTAACAGTAAAAATTTCAGTATTTTAATAAGCTGGGAATTGCCTCGACAGAACCTTTATTTGGTTCTTTTGCAATTTCCATTTCATGTTCATTATCTATTTCCTTGATTTCTTACTCTTATCTTTACTTCTCTTTTTAATTGTGTGTTTAAAGTTCAATGTACACTGTGTATCCTACATGTAAATATGTTGTCAATGTTTTTCAATGTACTTTTTTTAAATGGACTTTAATAAAATCAAATTGAATTGGATAAAAAAAATTGAATTGAATTGAATGTTTTCACGGAATATCAAAGAGGCCTCTTTAAATTATTATCACTTTTACCATTTGTGATATTATTTGAATAAGATGCATATCACAGGGTAGACGTCGGATTAAACACCAACACAACATTCCAGCCACATTTTTTTTCTTCAGGCATTTTTATTGACTTAAACACAGACATGACCAACAACAAAAAAGTATTTTTTTTAAACGCAGTTTCATTGATAGGTTCGCTTGACAAAAAAAATGGACTCCGAACCAGTGTCACAAAATGCTCAATAAAAACAAAACCCCCTCTACAAATTTGTCGATTTTGTATCATTTTTCATGGGCAAAGATTCTCCCTCCGCCGCGGCCGCGGCGGATGATACCATGCAGTGAATTTACTGGAAGTATGCTAGTTGTTTTTGTGTTTTTTATGGGAAGGCGGCACTCTGTATTATTTATTAACGAAAGGAGATAATTAATTTCTTTAGACAAATGTTCGTGTCATAATCATAAAGTTGACCTTTGTCAGACATTTTTAACGTTACAATTGAGATTCTTCTTCTTTTTTAGATCAAAAATAATTATTCTTTATTTTGCATGGAGAAGTTTAGATAACATAATTTGTATCAAACCTGTTTCTTGGTATGACTCGTATGAGGTTTATATTCTGAATGAATGTAACATAAAATTAATTAAAATGATAGGCTACCTTTAAGTTTCTTTCCTTCGTTGTCATCGTCGCAGTCATTGTCGTGTTCGTCAAGAGATTCGACTGACGACTTCTCGGCCCAGGTTGTTTCTTGCCCGCTTCTAAGGTCGTCATCATTCGTTAACATGGTGACGACTGTCTGCTCTGTCTGCACGCTGGCCTTTTGCGACATCGTCGTCCTCCTCATCGTCGGAGGGCTCCATAACCCGAGCAGGCCGAGGGTGAGTTGGAGAACGAGTGGCAAGGAGTGGCCGGAGCAGTCACCCACGCGCTCCTTTCTTTGGCTTCGAGGACAACAGCCGGTATACGATGATGATGACATGCTATCGGATAAACATGATCTCTCTTGCAAGGGGGTATGCTCATTGAAATCGTGAGGCAATGTGTGATCCATGGTGAGATTTAAAAAAATACAATAATAAAGATGAAAATATCTTGACAACGGTGGTAAATGGTCTATACACAAATGTTTAGTATAGGCGCGGTTGCGTGAATTGTTTAAAATCACCACAGTTTAATAGCGAATGAAATCCACTTGATAGTTCTTCAAGAACTACTCTCCAAATGAAAAAAGCTATTCTAAAAATAACCATTTGAGGCATATGTACCTGTAAAGCGCTGAAGACTATCACGAGATGTTCTTATGTTCTGAAAGTAATCTATAGCTAATCTCGAGTTCGGTTTCATGTATGGGCATCGTATGTCAAGAGAACATGGCTATAATTTAAACTGCAGTAGATTGACATTCATTGTTTGAACCAGTAAAATAAAAAACAAACTCACAAAAACTAGCAGTAAATCAACTTCAATAAAAACCACGCCTCTCATGCATGGTGTCGGGCCTAGGTATCCCTTTTTTTTTCCCCCTCTTTCAATTTTTCTTATTTACAATGATGGTACATTTTTACATATTCACATACTAATATACATATATATCGATTTGCACAATAAAATACATTAAAACAAAACTTGACATGAAATTGAAAGGGTAGAGGGCCGACTACCTTGATTTCCATATCTTTCTATGCTCATTACTCAGCCCCTATACATTTTCTACCAAAATCATTTGGCATATGTGTCATTTATTAGTAATATTGAAAATTCAGTTTAAGTTTCGATGTATACTGTGAATGTATTTTCTAATATTACCAGAACCCAAGCTTATCTTGCCTGACCTGTCCAGTCAGTGACAGAGAACACAGACATCATGGATAAATGACAAGAATGAAAGCTCGTCTTAAATTTAAACAAAATATAAACTCAGTTTAAAATCGTACACTTTCTCTTTAAGAAGATAGAGAATAGGGATAATGATAGTGATATGTGTTGAGTGATAAAGAAGTTTCTAATTAACAGATCAATTACCAAGTAAGTACCTCTTGTAACGATATTATAAATAATTGGGATACTTTATAGCGTTGCGAAAAATTATTTTCTGAGCTGCAAATTTCTCTCACTTTCGACGTGCACAAGTATTGTTTTTATAGCTCTTCCTGCGTGTGACATAAATTATTTTGCTTGTGAAATTTCAGATTTTTTTTCTTCTTTTTTTCGGGGGGGGGGGAACACTAGCATGAACATTTTCCTTTATATTGCAATAATGGTCATGGTGATTTTGCACATATTCCATGAAGATTCAAGTCATGTTTTACATTCCCAGAGCAGAACGACAATTTTGTTAAATTCATGAACAAACACGGATATAGAGAGAAGTGAGGGGATGACATCATCAACTTGCTAATTTCCATACAAACTACCATTTTTCTTCCTTCCATCTCGGCCCGTTATATCTATCCATTTATCAATCGTATCTATCCATCTGTTTCTATCTCTCTCTCTCTCTCTCTCTCTCTCTCTCTCTCTCTCTCTCTCTCTCTATATATATATATATATATATAATATATATAAATTATATACCCGTCTATCTAGGCCTATATATCTATCTGTCCATGATATAATATGCTTGTAAATGCCATTTAAAAATTTAAGCTGCGGCGTCTTCTTATTGAACATGTATCCCAGCATTATAGGCCGCACAAAAAAAAATGTTGTATTGCCCTTTAGGTGCCAAAACATGGGTCGGTCGGTCGGAATTTTTTTTTGTATAACTTTTTTTTTCTTTTTTTCTTCCTCTTTGGGCTGCCTTTTTTCAGTTTTTTATTTTTTCTCTAAAAACCGGTAAAAAAAAATTTGTCTTCAAGATTTTAGGGTCGGTCGCAAAGGGCAATACAACATCTTTTTTTTTTATAGGTCCTATGACCATGTAATAATAAAGGGAAGGGCGGAGCTGGGGATGTAGGGACCCCCATTATTGCAAGCCGCAAACAATGTCCTTTCCCAAGCATAATCATGTTCATTTTCATCAAGTCCATCAAGTGCATCATGTCTGGCTAGTGAAAGAAATGTGCTTTTTGCCATTATGAACTACGAAGACAGGTCGTACGTAACATTATAAATTATAAGCCTAATCAAATACCCCCCGGGCAAAATGTTCCGAGTACCGTTCAGAGTTTGAAGATTTCTCTGCGACTCCTTAATTTTTTCACTGATTTACTCCAAGATTCATTTTTTCATGCACATCTTTCGCTGTTATGATGTTATGTTAAATTTGAAGGTCACATGCCACACGTATTCTGACTGAATTCCCTAAACGAAGAGATATTTGAAACTCCAAATATTTTGTTCCATATTTCATTTACCTAACGTACACAATTATTTCGCTTTATGGTTTGTTTTCTCTAATATACCATAAATGTTGTTGTTTTCTGAGAGAGGAATCCCTTGCAGACTCGCCTCTATTAATCTCTAGATCTATGCCTACATGTATATTATGTTTATTTGACTTCATTTGTATTATAGAAGGTCACAATCATGTCCAAAAAGAAGCTTCACAATCCCATGAATTTCTTCCAAGACAATCGCGGAGTAAATCAGCAAAGAGCACTGGATACGGCGCTCGTTAATAGTTGTTTAGCTGGAGATGATGACGCCGCGATAGACCTTTTACAGAAGGGTGCCTCCCCGGAAGGAGAGGCGTATGCGATGACACAAATAGCGAGTGGAGAGAACTTCAAGCGGCCCTTGATGGCTGCAGTCATGAACGGTCACAAGAAAATTGCACAGATATTGTTAGAAAATGGAGGTATTATATAACGTTTAACGATATCTTTAATCTTGTCTATTTGTAGAAAGAATAATAGCCTCAAGAATTACAAGATGAAGATTGCTAATGATTAATGTCAATGTAATGATTGGATTTGGAGAGCTTGAAATGAACTTTTGTGAAGGAAGATTCGGCGACATACAAATCGAAGGGCTCTCTAGTACAATTAAAGGCATAATTAAAGAATTATAGAATGACAGAAAAGTGGAAAATAAATTGTGATGAAGATGGAATATTTGATCACAGACCTGCATTTGTGCAGTAGTAAGAGTAAGAGTAAGACTGATCACTAATGTAATGCTGTGTTGCAAAAAACAAAACATTCCAGGAAGAGATGATGTAGCTGAGTGTAGGCCTATCTGACTTAGCCTAAGTTAGGTTGTGCTAGGTGATGTTATCATATTTTATACTATCAATTGACCTTCTATTGGACTTGCTTTAAAGTAGAGCCTGAGGCTGTGTTTCTGTTTTTATTTTGATTTGCTTTTGCTTTTGCTTGATTTCCCCCCATTTTTTTGTCTTGTGTTAGTTATTATTATTGAAACTGCATCCCTTTCATTGTTTTCCTTTTATTTGTTACACTTACAGGTAATAATAACATTTATTGTAAATAAGATATTTTACAACATGTTCTTGCTTTTTGCACCATCACCTGCTGTCACAGCACAACCCATCGCAGTTTAGCTTGGAAAAGCTGCAACAGTGTACCGGATTATCTTTTCATGGTTCAGACGGTAGAACTTAGAAGTACTTTCTCACTGTTCAGCAAAGTCTCAAAAAAAAAAAGATTGTTGAATATATCAAGATAGATCTTCAGTGACCATGAACAGGAGACACTGCCTTATTAGGCCCAAATAAAAAAAAAAAAACATTTTAGCATCCTGCCTTTATGAAAAATAGCAAGGAGGAAGCCCTTTTTTCTTTCTTTTTTTCACTTCAAAATGGCCCTCAGTTCATTTTCCATGACAGTTATTTTTCAAGATGGCCGCCGGCATTTGAAAATTAAAAATTAAAAAAAATCTGAAATAGATCCATTTTAGCAGTGTTTTTCATGTTTTTTTTCTTTAAAAAGGAAGGAAAAAAAATAACAATAAAAGAGGCAGCCTACTGAAAGGAAGCGGACGGGGATGCTAAACATGTTTATATTTTTTTAATTGTGTGTTTTATTTCTTTGTTTAAACACGGTATAGCTGATCCATGTGGTGTGAACAGATACCATGTCCAAGCCCTTCATCTTGCGGCTCATTTTGGTCACAGAGACTGTGTTACTCTACTCCTCGATGCTGGAGCAAATGCGAATGCTGAGACTTCAGATTTCAACAAACCAGGAGTCTACAAAAGTAAACATTCATATTTTCATGATTTTGTTAACATTTGATGGTCAAAACAACCTATTTACTGCTATTACATGATAGGCAATAAAGTTTTCTAATTCTTTTTCTCAGGAACTTGTACTTGTAGTTGTGTTGAGGTATTTTTTGTCTGGCTCTAAAGCTTAAACACACATATCTAACTGATTATTGTAAGCTTGAAATGCTAATGTCTGTGTACAGAATACAACATTAAAGTAGTCTAAAGCACAGCCTTCTTTCATAGAACGCTTGCTCTTAGTGTTTTTCATATAAGTGAGAAAAATATTTAAAATGTCATTCTTCTATTGATAGAGCCGTTTCGAGGAGGGACCACACCGTTACACATGGCAGCCAAGCTGAACCGTAGTGGCTGTATTGAAGAGTTGGTACAACGAGGCAATGCTGATCTCAGCCAGAAAGATATAATAGGAATGAATTGTCTAAATACAGCATGTCAACTCGGCCATGAAGAGAGTATTCTCACTATTCTTAGAATATCCCAAGAAAAAAAGATAGCAGCTAGATCATCAATGGGAACAGGTTAGTAGTCAGAATGTCAGGGTTCTGTGACAGCACACAGTCTTATCAACCATCAGAAGGAGTTGTATGACACTTACTTTGATGACAGTTGCTGCAGAGTCAATATCCTATCATCAAACCAGGACTAAAATCTGCAAATATGCCTATCCTAAAATATAATTACCCCCCAAGGACAGTCCCCCCCCCCCCCCCCCAAAAAAAAAGAAGAAGACTTGCCCTGTAAAGAACATGGGGAAATATATGTATTTATTTATGTGTTGTTGTTGTTGTTGTTGTTTGTTTGTTTGTTTTTTTTTTTTTGGGGGGGGGGAAGGTTATTGTCCTTGGGGTGGTTGTCCTTAGTTGTCCTTGGGGGGGGGGGGGAGGGGGAATTGCCTAATACAGAAAAATAGACTCAATAGAGCCACTGCTGTATGTCTTATAAAGGCTACCTCTTTCTCTGAGCTCCTATGGTATCGGCTTAATGGAAATGATTGCAATTGTGCATATATTTTTTTTCCTATTTTACTTGATGATAATTTTTATTTTCTGTAATGTTAGTAATATGGTTCCAATCATTTCTGTTCAACTTTTTTTCTCTCCATATCAGGGAATAGTCCGCTTCATGACTGCGTTCGATGTGGCCTTGTAGTAGCCACAAAGGCTTTGTTAGACTATGGAGTAGACGTCAACCAAACCACTCCAACAGGTTATACACCGCTTCACTTTGCTATGATACAGACCAGTGCTATCGGGCCTGAGCTCATCAAAACACTTGTACTGCACGGCAGAGATGTGGATGTTAATGTACCAAACAGAGCAGGTATGCTGTCAAATGAATAGATAATAGTCTATAGAGAATACATGTATATAGAGAGGGTATGTGGTCTTGGGACAATGGAGTGCAGGGTACAGGTTCAAATCCCAGCAACAGTAAACATCCTCTTGACCCAAGTGAGGATAAATAAGATTATTTCTTAAAATACACTAACAGCTGCTGGAGCTAAAACACATCTAATAATTTGTAAAGCCCTTTCGAGTCAAAAAGGGACGCTACACCATAAGTTGATATTTGCTATATACTACAACAAGCAATTATCATTGTACTGTACAGTATGTAAAAAGGAGGAATACGAATCTTTATAGATCTTATTGTATTGAATAAGGATGGATGTAATTACATGCATTCCTTCAGACTGCCCTCAGATCAAGTGGTACCACCATTACTCAAGTCTGTATTTTCTTGTTTGTAGGACTGAGGCCTCTCCATCTAGTGGCTTTCAAGACTGACGGAGGAGAACACTTTCATCATATACACACGATTGAGTACCACATGTCACGTGATCATATCACCCTCGACCCTGGCCGACCTCGTCATGACCCTGAACTGACCTGCTTCTTGATTCAGTACGGTGCAGACTTTAACATTGAGTATCACGGTGTGTCGTTGCTTCAGCAGGAGATCTATACCAAGGAGGATGATGATGATGTCATCTTGGAAACTATCCTTCGAGCTACAAACTCCTTTGAGATACCAAGTAACCCTAATCCAAGGGATAGTCAAATGACGAGAGTTTCAGAGAAGTTGAGCATGCTGCAGACTCTGTTCTGCAACCCTAGATCACTGCAGCATCTTTGCCGTCTTCACATCAGGAGACTCCTCAAGACACCGTGTCTCAATAGAGCGCAAGAACTTGCTCTTCCAGACAGTCTCAAAGATTATGTTCTCTTGAAATGCTGAACAAGGTGCAAGTCTGTCATAGTGGTCAGAGAAACACTTCTTTGAACTTTAAGAATTTAGATTATTATGGTATAATAAGTTAACGCAACGACTTATTAATGGAGGAACATTTTTGAACAGACTGAAAGGGCAATCCAAACTTACAAGCAAACAACTCTAAAAGAAAGCAGAAAAATCAGAGAAGCAGGCGGGTGAAAGTTTGAACATAATCTGAAGCAATTATAAAGTTGGAAATTTGTTAAAACTGTAATCACTGTAGGTATGTGAACTTCAAATTTAATGAGTTGTTCATGTCTAATGTCACTGTGACGTAGTTCCGGACAACTTTCCGTTATTGTTTCAACACACAAATTGACTAAAATGTCATTTTTCAAAATAACATATACATATCTGGAGGGTCTTTATTCTTCAGAGGAACTATAATAATGCATTACCGGGGTATCCATAATATATTTTTAGGCCAGAAGAAGAATGCACTTGGGAGAAAATCTGAAATTTATGATATTTTTGTACACATCATATTCATATTCATATTCGATTCATTCGATTCATAAATTAAGTAGTTAAATTCAGTTCAAGTTCGGATTAAATTCATTCGCAATTCAGATTAAATACAATTAAAAATTTAAACCAATTCAATTCGTAATTCAGATCAAATCCATTTCAAATCCCGATCACATTCAGTTCGTAGTTCAAATTAAAATATAATTAACAAAATCAAATCACATTCAGTTTATAATTCAAACTAAGTAATAAGATTAAATTCATAATTCGGGTTAAGTTAAGTTCACAATTCAAATTCAATACAGTTCATGATTCAGACGGATTCAATTCATATTTCAGGAAATAATTCAATTCAAATCCCGATCGCGTACAATTCATAATTCAGATTAAATTAAATTGACAATTCAGGTTAAATAAATTCATAATTCAAATTACTACAATCTATAATTCACATCAATTCAATTCGTAGTTCAGATTAATATAAAATTAACAATTCAAATCAAATTTAATATATAATTCAAACTAAGTAATTAAATTATATTCATATTTCGGGTTAAATTAAATTCACAATTCAAATGCAATACAATTTATTCTTCAGACCAATTCAGTTCATATTTCATAATATAATTCAACTCAAGTTCCGATCACCTAGAATTCATAATTCAAATTAAATTAGTTTACAATTCAGATTAAATGCAAGTTATAATTCAAAATAGGTGATTACATTCAGTCATAATTCAGATTAAGTTAGGTTCACAGTTCAAATTAAATTCACAATTCAGATTAAATTCAGTTTATTATTCAGACTTAGATTAAACCCTCCTCGTTCATCAGCCTGATTGAGCTTGGCACAAATGAATTTAGAAACCTGCTCGTTCTGGACCTTAGAGATCTTAACCTGTTTCCTGACCTCAGGGCTACATAATTATTATTTAAGGGGTGACGGCTGTTATGGTAGATTGATTTCGCCTTGTCGAGTATTCTATTTCTACATATATCTTCGAAGTCTAGATTCTTCCCTACAATTTTTTCCGCTTGTTTAACAATTCTTTTTAGCATAGAAAAGTCTACTTTTCGACATGCTGTGAACCACACAACGCAGTCGTTTACTATTATGCTCTCTATCACAGACTTGTAGAAAAGGTACATTATAGTGCGGTCTACATGAAAGGAATTGAGTTTACGAAGGAAATATAAACGTTTCTGCCCTTTCTTGTACAGCTCCCTACAGTTGTCATCCCATTTCAGCTTGTCATTAATTACAGTGCCAAGGTATTTGTATGATTTCACTATCTCTATTTCTTTTCCGTTTATTTTCATTGGGCAGCTACTTGGATCTACGGGTCTTACTTTCCTTAAGTCAATTATCATCTCTTTTGTTTTCGTAGTATTGAAGTCCAGAAAGTTTTCATTGCACCACTCAGTAAACCAGTTTAGATAATCTTCGTATTCAGTCTCACTTCCTCTAATATTCCCAACAATAACAGTATCGTCCGCGTATTTCAAGACTGAGACATTTTCCGAAGATGAGCGGCAGTCGTTGGTATACAACACGAACAGGATGGCCGAGAGCACGCACCCTTGAGGAGACCCGATGTTGGTGACAATGGACTCACTCATTGTGTTCTGCACCCGTACTTTCTGCGTTCGGTTCTGCAAGAAGTCCACGATCCAAAGTATGAGCGATGGCCTTACTTCAAGACGCTTCAACTTCTCAACAAGCACATGAGGGCGGATGGTATTGAACGCAGAAGAGAAGTCCACGAACAATGCTCGTACGTACGATTTCGTCTCTTCTGTGTGCTTGTATAGCAGATGTGTTAGATAAAGGGTAGCGTCTTGAACAGATTTGTTTTGTTGGTATGCATACTGATGAGGATCAATCAGCTCTCTGACTATGTCACAATCCACTTACAACATTGCCAATATGAGATTTTCATATCTATAGTGATCTCATATTGCAAACGTTCATAACCCTGCCATTTTGTTTGTCTTATTTTCCTGCTTTCATACAAATGAACTTATTATAAGGGTTGGATTGGCCTTTATTAAAAGATGTTGGTTTCTATGTCTTCCATGTTTGTACCTATAGCACCCTGCATACATTATGAATCAACTATCCTTCATTATGAGACTGAAGATTTTTAAACATGTTGTCTGACTTTGTGATCTACGATAAGAAACCAAACCAATTCCCTTTGTTTGCAGGAAAAATATTCCTCAGCAAATAATATATGCTTATAACAGGGTTCTTATTTGTAATAATTTTATATATTTTTTAGCTTGACAGTTGGTCATTCCATATTAAATAGGTCTTTGCTAAAACTGTAGAGATGTTATATAATATAGCGATAATTTTGAACATCTCATTCTTAAGTGATTAAGAAAATGAAACAATAATTTTTGTGTTGATTTTCAGGAAATGATGGGATGAATTTATTTTTCAAAGTTTGATATCAAATTATTACCAATTTGACAATATGTTGGGGAAAAAATATGTTTTAGGAATTTTGAAGTGAACAAATTTAAATGTTATCTGAAATTATTTCCTAAGATTTTAGGGTGCACGTGTATAGGTTTTGTGGTCAGTGGATAAGTCACCGGACTGTGAAGGGTATAGGGTTCTAATCCCTACCACAGCACTAACATACTTTGGAAAGAGCCACACTCAATCCCAGGTGAGGTAGATGGCTACCTGGCAGGATTTAATTCCTGAGAATGCTAGAGCACCATGATGGCAGCTATGCTAAAACCGGAGTAATAATTGTGAAGCACCAGGAATGCCAAGCCTAATAGACATAAGGCTATACAAGAACCCACTATTATCATTATAATCTATTATGAACTTTGTTTAAATGGTCTCATTCAAAACTCAAAAGGTTGGCAATTTTGAAATTGTATATCTTTTATTTGGGATTTAAATTGATGAAATGCATGTATGATTATAGTACCCTTGTATAATAATAATAATAATAATATAGAGTATTTTTAATTCTCAACTCCACATGACTAATGTGTTCAAGTCTCAATGGAGAAAAAAGCTAAGCTACAAGTGTAGCCTAAAGGTGATCCTAAGAGCATTGTAAGATTGTGCATCTTGATGTGACACCAAGTGTCTTTAAATTTAAATTAAATTTTAAATTAAATTTAAATTAAATCACACTGTGTAACATATGTCAAGTTTAATTAATTAATTACTTATTGATGACATCGGAAAGCAGCAGTACCTTTGTGCTAATAATGGCATGAAATATTTCAATTTCTTATGTTACAATATGACAGTATATTCTTTCAGTTTCAAAATTGTTAGATTTGAAAGATTTTTCAAAAATGACAAATGCTGTATGATTGAGTTATAAGAACTAAAGTTCTGTTTTATCTTGTTTTAATGCAATGTAAATTGCATACTTTGCTATTGAATGCCTTTTGTCTTTCAGCATAATTAATGAATGTATATTAATTTAAATTATTTAAACTTATTCGTATATATCACAAGGTAAACTTCCTTAAAAATGTGGCAAGATTTATGTGTAAAAGAGTGGTAAGAAGCAATGTCTTGCCATGTGGGACTTTGTGCTCTCTCTGATATGTGAGTCGAAAGACACCACACTTTTAAAGGGGTTCCAACCTAGACAGCAAACTACTCTAGAAGAAAGCAGAAAAATTAGACAAACAGACTAATGAAAGTTTGAATGAAATCAAAGAAATCAGAAAGTTGTACATATCTAAAACTTGCGCTTATTATAGGTATAGGCGCTTCGAATTGACTGAGTCAGTAATGTCTCTGTGATGTACCGGTAGTGTTGAACAACTTTCTCATTCGTTCATTTTTTCAAAAATGTAAGACCCAGGATGGTCTTTTTTTCTGGGGACCTTTAATGATATACTGTCCATCATTTGTTTTGAGCAGTGCCCGAAGATTGGAGACACTAGGGAGAAAAAAAAAGAAGATATTAGTGATATGTTTGGACAGGACTAAAGAACCGATTTAATAATGGCATTGCTGATTAGCTGTAGTGATCTCATGTTTCAAACATTCATAACTTTCTTATTATAGGTCCCATTTATTTCAAACTTTCGCCATGCTGTTTCTCTAACTTATCTGCTTTTATTCAAATGAACTTATTACAAGGGTTGGATTGCCCTTTAATCACATTAAACTTAGCTCACTTTATTATGGTGGTTCACTGATTTGTGTCTGGATGTTTCTTGATTTTGGTTATTTTATGCTGGGGATATAGCAATAGCCATTATTGTCTATTAACTGTTAATCTTTGTAACAAAGTATTTATTTTATTTGAAATTACTGGTATCATTTATGTAGGGGTCTAGTGAAGTATGTGTGTATTCCTTAGTGCTTAAAAAGTTTGTGCAATAAAATAGTTTGTAGTACATGTACGTGTAACAAATCAATGTTTTTGTTGTGTTTGTTCCTGTTTTTGTTTGCCATCCCCTTCCCCCCTCTCCTCTCCTCTCCTCTCCTCTCCTCTCCTCTTCCCCTCTCTATATTTCTTTCAAATTCTCTCTTTGTCTCAATCTATTTCTCATTCAGTCTTTCTGTCTCTTGCTCTGAATATGTTAAGTCTCTGATGCCTCCCCATTTTCTCCTTACCTATTTGCTTATCATGCATATACCATTCCCATGTATCTCCTTATAAGATCTCCTTGCTGTACTAGAGGTCTTCCTGATAAAATGACAGATGAATTAATAATTTAATGCAAATTTAATGCAAAGGAAAATAGCGTGAGGGAGAGAGAAAGAGAGATCCTGACAATAATTGATTTAGAACTTATCGCGAGCAGGAAGAAGAAAGTGAACATCTACACTTTTGGTTCAATATGCAAAAAGATATCCAGTTGGAGAACCCGGGCATCGATCCCGGTACCTCTCGCATGCTAAGCGAGCGCTCTACCATCTGAGCTAGCTCCCCTTCCTGTCAGCATGAGGGTTACAATAAGTAATATACAATTTATTTTTCAAACAAACAAACAGCAATGTTCAAAGCGTTTTTATAAATGAATTATGTTCGTTGGAATGTAAAAAAATCAAATTCGATACCAAAAAGATTGATAATGCTTTGTCAAAATGTTTGTATAATTTTTTCTATTTATTTCGTATTCATGAATCTTAGCTTTCGACTCCTAACGTGTAATTAATTGACTGCAAGATTAAATTTATTTGAAGTCAACAGCCTGGAATCAAAGTTAGCATCAACGCACGTGTAAAAACATAACTCGGCATAAAAGGGTAAGACTTGTCCTTTACTTTGAACTGTTACTTGTAAGTATATACAATGAATGATCTACTAGTTAATATAGCTTAATATGATGCATTGAATTGATCTCAGTAACAAAATCCAACTAAACTTAGATTAAGAATCGCCGTGTGTGGATGCCAGCTCCAGCGAATCTCCCCATCGCACACATGTACACTAGCGCGTACAGAGTGATGGAGCGCCTCTGCTAGTGCTATGCCTGTGGACTGGCGCTCGCTTGCGATAGGATCCGCTGGGTTTCCACCCGCCCGGCCCGGCCTAGACCGAATTTTTCTGTCTCTTTCGTTCGTTAGCCTCTGATTTGGGTAGGTCGGCTCTCTCTTTAAGTCAAGGCAGCCCCCAAGAAAGCGAAGAAGCCAGTAAAGAAAACGACTGAAAACGAGAGAGCCGACCTACCCAAATCAGAGGCTACCGAACGAAAGAGACAGAAAAATTTGGTCTAGGCCCGGCCCTGCATGCCCCACACACAGGTATCAGCATTAGGCAGTTAGGCCTACTAATTCATGATCCTGGCTGGCTGTTTATTAAGATGGCCGGGCGACACTGCACAGCACCCCTGCTCTCCCAGAAATGGAGTACTGAGTAGATCTAGATCTATGAGGATAAAACAAGAGACAAGATTGAACAAATGAGAGAGAGAGAGAGGAGTCAGATGATCATGATGGAGTAAAAAAAAAAAGGAAATGTGAAATTGTGAGGGAGAGAGAGAGAAGATGACAGAAAACGAAGAGCTCTGGCAGTCTTGGAGGGAAGGGATGAGGTACCGCAGAGTAGGGAGGCCAATCCCAAAATCTAACTTTTTAATTACTCATTTAGGTGAGGTGTTGACGACGGCGTTCATCGTGTCACTACAACGATAAGTGTCAGTGGAAAAAGACAAATCCTAGTAGAGTCTATGTACTAGTTCACTACTAGTAACAGCGATACAAGTTTTTCCACAAATGAAATGTAAAAAGAGTTGAATGATGAACAAGTCACCCGGGAGTCCGGAGACAAAGTCGTCAAGTCCATGTTGGACGAAAAATTTGACCGGCACGATAAACAAAAACACAGTATCGACCTGTGTGTGCCTAAAGAAATAATCCCTCTGATTTCCACATGGAAATATCAGAAAAAGCCCCAATCGCTGGTGTAGCGCGATTGGTGAAAACAAGCGCACAAAATTACTATGCACGTATACGCGCTGTGCGTAACAATGACAAATCTACATAACAATAGGATATATTAACAAACCAGACAGAACCGGCTGGGCATGCCTGAAAAGCCAGACAGTGGACTACGCAAGGGAAATTAATTCTCCCTAGCCGCCATCTTGGCCATAGAAAAGCAATACGTATTAAACATGTACAAATCACTGCATAAAACGTTATATATAAAAGTTTTAAATGGTGACATTTGGTCACTACACCTTCATCTGTTATCTTACATTGTTAATGCATGTTTGTTCAACAGATGTACCTGAACTACTTGGATACGCCGTTTTAGATCGATGGTTTGTTTTTAATATACTGAGAAATGGCAAAGAACAAGAAGAGACGGAGCTTAACCTCCAAAGTGGAGCAACGCAGTAAGGCGACAGAGATTAAAAACAATCCATTTGAAGTTAAAATCAACAAACAAAAACACAACATCCTTGGAAGGAAGAACAAACATGGAAAAGGAGTGCCTGTAGTATCCAGATCAAAAGGACTGCAGAAGGTAAGAACCTAGAAAATGAACTATGATATGATTTTAATTGTCATGCAATTTAGCCGAGGCTGCGGAATGATGATCTTAATAAACTGAATTGAACTGAACTGAACTGAACTGAACTGAACTGAACTGAACTGAACTGAGTCAACTGACTTACTAAAACTGAAAAGCTTGGTCCAAATCAACCAATTCTTGGCCATTTCGGGTAATAAAATGTATTTGGGGTTCAAAACAGCTTTGTGTTTATCATATCTCAGAAACGTGATTCTGGCTCTATGTCACATTCAAAACACTTTTTTGGGGGCGTTTCAATATACCCATATCTAAAGACCTTTGAAAAATGATTTGCGTTTTATCACCTTAAAAAATTTGCCTGAAAGACGTTTAAAAACGCTGATTCTAGGCAAAAAAATGGACTATAAACGCACTCTCTGATGAGTTTGAGACTACCGGTATTGACTAACTCTGAATCCTGAATGTATGAAATGATATAATAACGCTCTAGATTATAAGTGTGTAGATGATAATGATAGTACAATAGCGCTTTCTTGTTTCAATATAACACTGTAAAAGAAAGCCTGTAACCCTTACTAATTGTTATGTAACACCTTACAGGTATATCTGATTTTGACGAAAATGTGCGTAAGACTTGAGGGAAAAAAGTCATGACACGACACTTCAAAAGTCCAAGCGGTTGCGACGCAATCTCCGAAAATGTCGAGGGGTACAGTACAGTAAGGGTTAAAAAAAATTCAAGTGCATGCTAGGAGAACCGTTTAGAATGTACTTGGTATATCCACAATTCCATATATGAAATGACCAAATCTATGTGAAATTCAATAACAGGTTTACTGTCAACATTGATTTTGTTTTTATGTGTTGTATAGAGAAATGCTACCCTGCTACAAGAATACAAACAGCGGCATAAAAGCAACAAGTTCCTTGACAAGAGACTAGGAGAGAATGATCCAGAGATGTCAGTAGAAGATAAGATGATGGAAAGATTTACTCTGGAAAAACAGGTTTGTTATAAATTCTCCTTTCTAAGGGGAGTTGTGATTTCTTCACACTTAAAGATTGTGATTGTTATATAAGAGGTTAACTTACCGCCTTTAGCAAGAGATGTCTGTCTATGTTGACAGTCTAGCACTTCTCCCTAATTTTCAACAAAACTTAATGGTCAATGGGCTTCCCAGTTTACAGTGCTCTAACTCTGGAATGTAAAGGTGCTTTAGAACAATTACATTTGTTTAGAAAACTTGTCCCTTTTACCCACAATATTGACTTAGCATTCTTATTGTAATGGTTGTAGGTTTTTCTTTCTGGTTGTTTATAATACTTTGAATGTTTCTTTTTTTCCCTAAAATTTCAAAGAAGCTTACCACTTAGTGTATCATTTTATAACTGTTTATATTTGTTTTCTTCTGAGAATTCATTAGAATTCAGTCAGAAGCTAGTTGCTGTCCAGTCGAGAGAAGTTTGTTATTTAAATGTTTGTTTGTTTGTTTATCCTTAGAGAAATCATGAAAAGTCTGGCATGTACAGCCTGAATACAGATGAAGACTTGACCCATTACGGTCAGTCGCTGTCCAGTTTAGAGAAGTTTGAAGAACCAGACCTTGCAAGTGATGATGAAGAGGGGGGCATGATAGATAGTAAGTATACGTTCTGATCGTAGAGGTTTGCTGGGCTATTTTTCACCCAAACTGATTTAGGAATTATGAAATAGAGAGTATGCATGTATCCCCCCCCCCCCACTTCCTCATTTAGAGGTGTTGTGGTCCTGTGGAAAATTCTCTGGACTGTGAACCACAAGGTACAGGGTTAACAATCCCTTCCACAGCAGTAATGTCCTTTGGCAAGACGCTAATCTACATTTGTCACACTCTTCCCAGGTGTCTTTAGTGGGTACCTTGTAGGAATATTCCTTGAATGCACTGAGTAATAAGGTTGCCGGAGCTAAAGCCGGGGTACTAATATCCGAAGTCCTTTGAAAGTGCATAGAGATGCTATGATGGCAGGATATTATGATTCAGTTCTTCATGTTTAAAATGTAATCTGTATTGTGGTGGGTCTCTAGAGTTTGTGTCTTTGAAATTCAGTGTCTTTTCATAATCTTTGCTTATTTCAGAAAAATTTGTAGCTGAAGAACATTTTGGAGGATTTCTAACCAAGAAGAAAACTGATGAGGTAAGAAAAGTAAACTCACAAAACAACTCTTGTCTAACCTGGTTCTTTATGAATGTTGATAATTTAATAATATTGCAATACCCTTGAAAAGTATATGCCTGATGAAGTTTGAATGGAATTTATTTATATTAGACATATTGTTATATATATTTTTAATTCAAAAATACTTATTTGAATTCATTATGATGTTTTTCAGTTGTGTAACTTTCTGTTTTGTATTTATTGTTTAGTGATGATAATAAATCATTTTACAAACTAAAAGGAATCTTAATGATAGTCAGAGGTAATGAGATCACATGACATCACTTGAAATAAGAGTCATTAATATAATGTATCATACAAAACCGAAAGCACTGTAACATGAAACAGACATTCTAAGAAAAGTTGTTGAAACATTTGTTATGGAAAATAGTTAATAACACTTTACTTAAACAAAACTTAAACAATATTATAGAACATGATTTTTGTGGTTGTTCCAAGTGCCTAAACTTACATAGCGATTAAACATATTCCTTGTATTTTGTCCATTATAAGTTTATACTATTTTTGTTTTTCTTAAAATATAGTTAGGTGTATTAGTTTTCTGCCATGTACTGTCCTGTGTGTTCAGGCAGTAGCCTAGGCATGGATATCTCTTTTTTTTTTTTTACATGCTTTCTGTTGTTATATTCAATAATAAAGTATGTGACTCAAAAATTGAGCTCAAAAAGCTATTATATTTTGAAGTACTGTGTACATCAGACCGGTAATTTATGTTGATAAGGTAATATTATGTTTTTGTTGTTGTGCGTATTTGATGTTTTCTTCCTTGGTCTATCTACATTTGTGTGTTTTAGGAAGGAAAGCCAAAGACAAGACAAGAAATATTTGAAGAAATCATCGCCAAATCTAAGAAAGATAAGGTAAATAGACTCTCTTACTCTCCATTTCTCTAGCTCTCTCAGTGTTGCATCAATTACTTATGTTAAAGTGTGTAACACCTTGTCAAAAAGTTGGATGGAAAGTTTTCTTGTTATTTGGTGAAAGAGGAATATGATAGTATTTCACTAAATTCACCTAAAAACAACATATTTCTATTGAATTGATATATTCCATGCTAAAGACTATCCAGGAGGAGGGGTTTAGATTACTTTAAGCATTAATAAGCATGGCATATTTCAGAGAACAGAGAGAATGAAAGAAAAATGGATCGATATTTAAAATACCACTCTACCACAAATGTAACTTATGATTATCTAAGTTGTAGCGATAATAGCATATTCCAGTTGTTATTTATGTTTTCTAATGTCTCTTCGGTAATATTTATGAATATGTTAATTTATAAAATCTACATGTCTAAGCTAATTCATGATGTTTTTCTATATTTTCAGTTCAACCGACAGAGTGAGAAAGAAGATGTTGTGAAGCTTACAGAGCAATTAGATCAAGATTTCAATGATGTCTCACAGTTCTTAGCCAAAGTCAAGGTATGTCACTCACATATAGGAAGATGTGTTGAAGCTTACAGAGCAATTAGATCAAGATTTCAATGATGTCACTAGTTATTATCCAAAGTCAAGGTATGTCACTCACATGTATCCCACCTACGTATCACTGTTGCAATAAACCTGTAAATTGTTAATTATCAATTTTATATCTCATGTAAAACGAATGACAATTTTATATCATCAATGAAACTGTAAATCGTATTCAAATATACACAATATTTGTTAAGTGTTCTATATATTTTAATGTGTTATCAATGCAATGTTATGCCATGTACTTTTTACTCTGTAAATTGAACAATTTCAGCTTTTAGCTGCATGTCCAATGATTTTTATCTCAATAAACCAATACAATACAATACAGTCATGTAATTCATCAGTTCCTGGTACCTTGAGAGGATTTGATGTTTGATATATGAATGGCTGGTTTGTATAGCGTACAATTTTTTATTCTTGTATACAGGATGTTGAGAAGGTATACAATATAACATAATGTTTAACATATATACTTCCATATAAAACTGAAGTGGAGGCTGGCATGTATCACTACATAGTTTGTGGTGTATTATGAAAACCTACAAAACCTCCTAATGAATTAATAATGACAAATGGAGTAATTGTTAGTTATTCTAAAAGGACCTTATTGCATATAAAAAGCTGCTTAAAGTCAATTTGATATGTTTTTATAAAAACATTGCTAAATATTTTCCAAGTTTGAAATTGAAAAGTAAATATTGGTCCATTCAAAAATTTTAATCTTGACTGTCCTCTGATCTTTTTTCCAGCGAGACAAGGATGAGGAAAGGAGGAAACCAGATGACTATGATATGTCAGTAAAAGAACTCATCTTTGATATGAGAGCTAAGGTATGTATATCAGATTTGATATTGAGATAAAGATTGAGATTACCCTTTTGAAATTGACATGATGGATTGATTGAATTCGCAACAAAGTACATATACTTCCAATCACTATCACTCATGAACCCTTTAGAATGGTGTCAACTAAATATCTTATCAGAATCTTAAATTGTTATAATTTTGATCGCTGAAGTGTGAGATATCAGCAACAGCAAGGATGGAGTATGCAATGACAGCGTGTTGCATAGATGTAGTCAAAGAACAGTCGAAGCATAAGGGTTTTTATTGATATTTACATTGATTATCGGTGCCTCTGTTCGATCCTTTTTAATGGGTACTAGATGATATGGAGCAGTGATGTAAATATCTTGGAATGATTGATGTACATTTTTGATTTAGTAAAAGGCTTCAGAGAGAATGAAAACTAATAGAGTAAATTGTGTAATATCAGGCAAAAGACAGATTAAAACCTCAGTAGTAATTGACATATATTTATTATTCAATAACAGGCTTCGGACAGATTGAAGACACCCGAGGAACTTGCCAAGGAGGAGAAGGAGAAACTAGAGAAGATGGAAACAGATCGACAGAGAAGAATGAAAGGAATCACGGAGACTGAAGAACAGGAGAATAAGAGAAGGATGCAGTACTTATCAGCTGATGATCTCAATGATGGGTAAAGAGTTCTAAAATGAATCAGGATATGTTGAAATAAGTTTTAAAGAATGAAATTTCTTCTGCAGTATGAGAACATGTACACTGATAGTTATTATTACGTATTATGTTGTTAGAGAGTATTAGAAATGAAGTTAGTTTAGTATAAAAATGGCTGATTAATAGTTGGATGGATTTTCCCCTGGCCATGTAAAATCTTGTGTCTGTAACCTTCTTGTTCAATTAAACAAAATGCGATGACTAAATTCATGTTCAACAAAAGTAAAAGCTTAGATCAGACTAGAACCCAGTCTATCATACTATGTTTAACTCAAATTCAGACAGAGCTAAATACCAGCGTCAGGATTAGATAGTAGATAAGTAGAAAATGGACGTTATAGTTTTATCTATCAAGTCATACCTATTTTTATGCCTCCGTTACGAAGTAGCCGGAGGCATTATGTTTTCGGGTTGTCCGTCCGTCTGTACGTACGTACGTCTGTACGTACCTACGTCTATACGTACGTACGTCCCGTTCTCGTGATCGCGTTATCTCAAGAACCGATTGATGGATTCCTGCCAAAATTAGGTCATGTATGTTACTTGCAGAGCCAATGAACTGAGTAGATTCTTGGTTCATAAGGTCGAAGGTCAAAGGTCATGGGCTCATTATGTATGCAGAAATAGCTTGTGAACACATTCTCATTAGAACTGACAGATGGATTACTATTTAACTCAGGACATCTTGCAGAGCCAATGAACTGAGTAGATTTTAGGGTCATGAGGTCAAAGATCAAAGGGTCATATATGTATATGAGAAATTGCTTGTAATCACGATATTCCAGGGCGCGACAAACCCGCTTGCCCGACGTCCCGGGGCAACCAAATTGAGCCGTCGGGCAAGTAAATCAAATTATCACTTGCCCGATTCGGGCAAGTGATACTTTTACAGTAATTTCCTAGTGTCCAAGAACTCTACCATTCACCCGTCAACTTCTTACCCGTCGTCAAAATCCAGAAGCAAAAAAGCGATCGTTCCGATTTCGAAAAAACTTCACAGACAGCTAGCCAGCTCAGCTAGCTCAGCGCGCATGCAACAGTGACACTTCAAGCCATGAATGCCGCTCCGCCTCCACGCACGGCCGGCCGTGAGCTAGCTAGAGACAGCTAGCGCGATCGTACCAGCTGCGAGCTTATTCGCGCTCTCTCTCTCTAGCTCTGCAGGCCGCACCGACAGGCCTTTGCTATTCTCTGATTGCGATTGGTTGAATCACGCCAAATATGACGTCATTATTCTAGGGAAATGAACACGTGCGAATCGGAATGGAATAAACAACAGGGATTTTCTAGTAAGTACAAAAAGTCAAATGTTTGATATTTATTCATAATGACTGTTAATGATTGTGAACATATTATTTAAAACTCGCTGCTCATATAAATCAGATGAATGTTTTTGTCTCGTTTTCAATTTATTACTGCGGTCTCAAGATCCGACCGAGCGAGTCATTTTGATAATAGTATCGAGACCCCCAGAATATAAGCCGTTGTTGTTTTGTTTTCATGGTTTTAGCGACGTTGTTTAGTCTAGTTTTCGCATACTTATCCGAGATTTATCGTAAAATATCTTCAATATTATTATTTAGTAAGAATTTACAAATTTTGGCATGATATTTATAGCAGTGAATGATGAAATAAAAATGTCCGTACTTTATTTAAAATAGTTGATTACCCATTATTTACATGACGTTTCTTGATGGAAGAGTTGACCCAAATTATTAACAGCTGAAAATTAGCCTACGTTTCCAAATGACAGCGGCTTGCACAGACACACATGTGATGTTGCACCATGGTACATGTGGCTACCATTAATGACATGTTTGTATCATATTTTTTACAACAGGGTCATTATGCTTTTTTACATGACTGAATATTAAAAACTTAAACCTGCTTGAACCATTCTACCTTGCCGAGATTCATGTGAATCTGATTATTTATGGAGAATCAATAAAATGCGTTTTTTAAACCTTCAACCATCCTTTGTTGACCATTTTCTTTGACATATTAGGTTATTATTCAGTACAGTTACACTGTACATGTATGTGCATTAATTTGCTATCTAAAACACTAACTTATCATTACGAGATAATAAATGCTTTAACCTCGAGTCCTTTTTCGCTTTAAAGTTTTGGGCAAGTGGAAATATTGTTTGGGCAAGTAAATTGAAAACCCACTTGCCCGACAGGGCAAGTGGTGAAAAAAATTCTTGTAGCACCCTGTATTCTGAGAACCTGTTAATGGATTACAATTGAACTTGAATTCGAAAAATGTGTTCTGTTTTGGTTTGTAAAATTGCTCTATGATGGAGGCATCATTTTCGACTGCGCGCAGTCGAATTCCATCTAGTTTAATGTTTAATTTGATTTGAATTGATATTTTGCAGGTTTGAGCTAACCCGAGACAATCGTAGCACTCTCAGCTATAGAGATGGTGTTCCTTCATTTGGTTTTGATCAAGGTATGGTATAATATCTAAGAATATATTTAAACTCAAATCTGCTTGGTAGTAGCTTGAAACATATGAGAACAACGTAAATTTTGATCATTGATATGAAAAATGTGTAATTAATATTTAGTTGTAGAGAAAGAGAGAGAGGAATTAATTGATAACTAGATATCGATAGATCTGTAAAATTGCTCTTGTAATTTACATGCTGAGGAAGAGATATATCAAGAGTTATGAGGTGATGTTATTATATTCTACAGGTGAATCTGACTCTGAGGAGAAGGAGGAAGAAGGAGAAGAAGAAGTTCAAGAGGATGATGAAGAAGAAGAAGAAGATGATGAAAGTGAAGAGGGAGAGGAGGAGGAGGAAGACAATGCTTCTGATTTGGATTCTGAAACTGATGAGGATGACGATGAGGATGATAGGACCGTGAAGGAGATTAAAAGCTCATTAAAGAAAGGCAATAAGCAGAGTGTTACCAAGAAAGTATCCATTCAAGAACCCGTGGAGAAAAAGAAGGTATGTATCAATCAATCTTTCTTCTTCACTTCAAGGTAAATTACAGTGTTGGTCAAGGATTTATTTATTTTATTGATTTACAAATTTTCAGAATGTGCCTTAACACAATTTTTCTTCAGAAGCTGCTAAAATACTGAAGTCATGTAGAAGCTTGAAACTTTGAATATGTCTCTACAAACATCATTTAAATACTGTGAATCATTTGAACTGTTTTAGCCCACATTGTTAATTCACTCTCTTTAATATTGATGATATTTTCAGCTGTGATAACCTTTGTCCCTTAAGTTCCTCTCAGAAACTTTTATTTCATTAGCTGGATGTACAGATGTGATTATAGTTACTTGTTACTACATGAAACAGTGAATTGAACCTGTTGATTTTAATAGAGATTCTTTTCTTTATTTATTTTTTTCTCTATCAATATGATTTGATTATACAGAAGATAGAAGAGATGATGAGGCTAGCCAAAGAAGAGCTTCCATACACATTCAAAGGTAAATTTATTACTTTTTTCTACTTTAATAGGCTATATTAGAGACTTCTAATCTTATAAATTCCATTATTGATTGCAAAAAAAATATGTATACTCTGCATTCTTATTGAAATTGCGTACAGTAAACAACTTTGTGTTGTCTAAAGTATTTTGTATGTTTTGGGGTTATATTTTACATTGTAAGAAATTCCAGCTATTGTTAATATTAGACCCAGCATATCTTGACTAAGATTGGGCTCTGAGTAGCTAAGTTTCCCCTCTACCTGTCTGTCAGAGCAACAGGTTATGAAATATGATAATATGAACCTATATCCATTTTATCATGTACCATTGCTTTATTGTTCTTTAAATAGTGCTTTAGGTGTTCAATAAATAGTGATATTTATTACTTGTCTTGATAAAATTGAAACTGTGAATAATAATAATAATAATAATAAATTTATATAGCGCAGCTTTTATATAAAATATATTCAGCTGCGCTGGTTAAGAGCTCCTTTGCACTAGATTCTACAAAATAAGAACTCTCAATTAAAGGGAAAGTCCACCCCAAAAATAAGTTTGTTTCGATAGAGGCAGAATAATAAGAAAATCAGGTGAGTGAAAGTTTGAGCAAATTCTGAATGAAAATAAGAAAGTTATGAATTATTGAAGTTGTGATCAATCAAACACAAATTGGCAACTCTATGACGTATCATGCGAGCTCAACTTCCATTTGCTCAGTACTAAAAAAATCTAAAATTTTCATTTTCCCTCAAGAAAAATTTCAACCATACATGCACCCTAAATATAATAATTGCAAATATGTTTCTATACTCCCCCTGCAAGGAACAAATATATATTCCGTCATCAATAACGAAGAAAACATGATTTTATGGAATATTATGCACAAAGCAAATGAAGGAGAGCTCGTATAATAAGTCACAGAGTTGCCAATTTGTATTTATTGATCACAACTTCAATAATTCATAACTTTCTTATTTTCATTCAGAATTTGCTCAAACTTTCACTCACCTGATTTTCTTATTATTCTGCCTCTATCGAAACAAACTTATTTTGGGGGTGGACTTTCCCTTTAAACAGATAAGTTTTTAAATTGGATTTGAAAACATTGAGGGATGGAGTGCTTCGTATTTCTATTGGCAAGCTATTCCATAGTTTGGGGGCAGCAATAGCAAAAGCACAGTCCCCGAGAGTTTTGCCATGGGGGAATCTGAAACAATTGCATTTCAATCAATTGAATTGATTTTAATTCTTAATATCTATATCATTGTTATTTTCGCATCAGCACCAACATGTCTAGAAGAGTTAGAGGGCGTATTAACTGGCCACTCCCCTAGCAACCAGCTGACGATCATAGAGAGAATGATTAAATGCCATCATCCTAGTCTATCTGATGGTAACAAAGCTAAGCTAGAGACTCTCACTACATGCATCTATCAGCTCATGGGAAAGTATGTCAAAGAAGGCAAGGACTTACAGCCACAGTTCATCAATGGGCTCACCAAGTAAGTAGTTATCATTTAACATCCCACTTTCGATACATTACACAGGCTAATGTGAGAACTAGACCTTAGTGGTCATATTTGTATCATATCGTAGAAAAAGAAAAGAAAATGAAACAACTAACACAAACCCTTGGCGGTTAAAATGAAATCTTCCAAACTGATATAAATTTATAATATTTATCTCTTCAATTATGTTGTTCAAAGATATGAATTTTAGTTTAATGACATTAAGTCCTAGTGCATGCCTATCACTTTTGTTCATTTTGTCTCATATCTCATTAAAGTTTGTACAAATCTGGGTTTTCTCGGACCGTTATTGATTATAATAAAGATTCGTACGTTTTTATTGTGTGAGGCATGTCTGAACTCAAGGTAACTCTTTACAAGTGGATAAACCTGTCTTTCTCCTAGGCATCTATATGACCTGACACAGACCTGTGCTCTGGCCTCGGGGAACAGTCTGATGGGGATTATCTGTGAGAAATATGAATCATTTAACAAGGAAACTGAAGACAGAGGAAGATCAACCTTTCCTTCATTAGATGTGGTGAGTGGAATTATCCCCTCTCCCCTACCCCTTGTCAACAACCTCCTAACTACCTCTTGATGAGATTACACCTGTCACAACAAAGGTTGCACCCTTCCAACTATTAAAGATTGCCCCATCCATCAAAGCTTTCTCTTCTGAAATTACATACCCGTCCCGAACAATATTACTACTCCATGATAACTACTGTATCACTCCAGCCAATAATTGATGATTTTCTATTTTCTTAGTTATTGATGAAGGAAGAGATAAATTACATGGAGGGAGTTGTGTAAAAGATGTGTCATATAAAATGTCAAGAGCTCACCTATAATGAAATATTTTATTTAGAAAACATTGAAATGGATTCTTTGACACACACAATATAGAGAAGATGCTCTCAAAGTAACAAAGTATATCAAAGGGCTGTCAACTTGTTTTTGATAGCTCATTTAAAACTTGGAAACTTTCATGTGATTTTCACCAAACTTTCATTTATATGTATCGCTCAGTCCTCTGCCCATGTTTCTTCTCAACTTAATGTCAGATTTGACTTCCCTTTGTAGTAGGATAATAGATAAATCATGCAAGCAGTAAATAAGTTTCTTCTTGATCTGAAATTTGAAAGTGTTCTAATTTCATCTTCCTTGCAGCTTCTATACTTCAAGCTAGTCTCGGCCCTCTTCCCAACATCTGACTTTCGTCACAGTGTTGTTACTCCCACTATGCTTTTCATGGGAGCTATTTTGAGCCAATGTCAGGTGAGGTCATGTCAGGATGTGACCTTTGGCCTCTTCATCTGCAATCTCTTCCTCAAGGTCAGTACAGTAACCTCTAAGCTCCACTATGATACATGTATATGACTGGCCAAGACAGCAGTGTTTCATTTGAAATGAAATTGAGTTCTCAACCCTTGCCTGCAGGAACCAAGTGGCCCCTGTATTAAGCCTATGAGAGTGAGAGAATTCAGCATTCATAAGATCAAGTTTTTTATTAATAATAATAATGATGATAAAACCGTGATTATGAAGCGCTTTCCACCAAAGTCTATTACTAGGTGTGCTTTGTATAGATACTTGTATATGCTTTCTATCAAAAGAGAGTGTCGAATTGACGCTAATGCTTCATATCTTATATTCTGTGTGGGCTAAACTCACTATTCTCATCCGAGCTATTATAATGGAAGCATATCATATTTCTGTTCTCAGAACGTGTCGTTGTCCAAGCGTCTTGTTCCTGAGGTGATGAACTTCTTACAAGGTATTCTCTACATGGCCTCGGACCATGAGAGTAAGACAGCAGGACTCGTGGTGGCGCCCTTCAAACAGTCAGGTAGATTCTCCAAGCTCCTTAGACACGAAGGGACAAGGTCAGTGTGAATCACTTTATGTGTTCTATTCGAGTCAATAAAGTAGCCAAGTTAGACGTGATGTTCAGGTTAACTGTGTATTGATTTACTCCATGTTTGTGGGGTTGTTTTCGGAGTTATACGAGCATGCATACCTTTACAATTGGTATGCAGTGTGATACATGTAGATACGCATGAAGAAATATAGTTCTGATCGTAAGATATACAAGTCAGTATGAATTACTTGATCATTTCTTCACTTTGATCTTAGCATTGTGTTTGATGTAATCTGTAGCTGTTAGGCCTGGGAGACTTCTGTAGCCGTTCAAATATTCATCTAAATATATATCTTAGAATAATTGGAATTAAACCCTCATGGGTATATCAAAAGTAAGAAAAAGAAGAATATTTATTTCAGGGCCCCTGTCAATTTTGAAACAAAAAGACTTTTTATGTAAACTCATGGTCTTACAAAAAAACCTAACCTAATATTTACAATGCAACACTTCTTCCCCACTTAAATTATTGCAATATCATTTGGGGTAATACTTACAAAAAAAAACTGTTCAAGATTTATATGTTACAGAAACGTGCAGCTCGGTTAATAACAAATAGTCATTATATGTCTCCAAGTTTACCATTATTTATTAAACTGAAAATTATTCCTGTATATGATTTGATCAAACTTAATACTTGTATATTTATGTTTAAATTTCATAAAAACCTGTTACCATCTGTTTTTAATAATATGTTCCACACAAATTCTTCTATTCACAATTACCCCACTCTTCAACGTCTAAATTTACATCACCCACTCTGTCGTTCAACTTCACTGTATAATTCTATATCATCTGTTGGGGTACGGGAGTGGAATTCCTTGAATTATGACCTAAGATCAAGTTCTACAATTACCAGATTTAAATCAATGTATAAAAAGAGTATTTTTCAATCCATGGTTGAGTAAGTACTTCTCTTTCCCATCTTTTTTCTACTTTTATCTCTTTCTGCCCTATTCTTCGCTTCCTTCTATTCTTTCTCTGTAACCTTCTTTCTGAACGTGTGTGTGTGTTGATGTACGGGTGCGTACTTGTATTATTTAAGTCCTTTACTTTTTTTTGTTAATTTATGTGCATTATCTTCTTATTGTTTGTTTGCAGGGCCCCGATTACAAGCAGATTTCTGCTTCTTAGGGGTCCTAACCATTATATTGTATATTGTATATTGTATTTTCATTGTAAATTGTTTTTATACTGGTTAAATAAATGAAATGAAAATGAAATGAAATGAAAACACCAGGACTTACTTTGTATACTTCTTTTACTGAATATTTGATAGCTGGTGTTGGAAAATATATGAAAATTATTAATTTTTACCTTTCATGAAACCTTTACTTAATTCTTTCTAGTTATCATAGCAAATTTGTGTTGAATACCTTCATGGTTTGGTCTATATTTTGACATGTGGATACCATTGTTATGTCATGATCTACTGCATGTGTGTAGGGAAACTCATGTTTTGATCCATACTGTTATACAAGGATACCATGGTTGTTATATTACACAGTGAAGCTCAGCTGAGACCAGTGAAGATCCTGGACCTGGTGACAGACCTTGAGGACCTAGACCAAGCAGAGTTCTCTACCTGGGCTCTAGGTCTAACCTGTCATCTCCTACACCAGTTCTCGACACTCTATGTAGATCTACCCAGTTATTCAGAGATCTTCTCTCCAATCTACATCCTCTTACAAGACAAAGAATTGCTTCTTAACAAATATCATCATGATGTTCAGGTGAGGCACTATTTCTACATCATTTTTCTTCTCAGAGAAACTTTGCACTAGTGTAATTTCATCCTTAAGTCTTTGTACTTTATTTGTTAAATATTGCGTATGGATAAAAAGAAGTTCATTCATGTGTTGATCATGAAAGAGTAAATTAGGGGTACAACTATCTAAATCATTCATATGTTTATTTGTTAATGTTTTGAAAAATGCAAAAGTCTAGCAAAGTATTAAATCTTCAACAGATAGCATAATTAGGGGAACTAGAGTTGCTCATCGTATGCTATCCTTCTTCAACCTCTGTTACATTCATACAAAGTCTTGGAGATACCAGTCCTGAAAATATTTCTTACAAATTCCTTCCTTGACATTGGTCACATTCTTGACGATGTGCAAGTACCAATATTCAATTGCATGAATACATTGTGTTGGTGTGTTTGATTGACTGTCTAACCACATCATTTTGCATTTACAGTCACTAGGAGATGAGGTCCTTTCGCACATAGAGGGCAGCAGACAGAGAACGAGGAGAGTTCTTGAAGTTGAGAAGAAGAAACCAGCTCCTCTTAAGATGTTTGAACCAAAGATTGAAGAAAAGTAAGCAACACTTTTTCCAACTTATACTTACTGAAATGTATTTACATAACAAGTTGCCCTAAATATGCAACCAAATTGTTTTTGAAATTTCCAGCATTATTTTTTGATGTAAAATATCTTGATATTAGTGATTTTGAGACACTGTTATTGAGTGAGAGAAAAAGGGGGTTCAGGAGAATAAAAATGCAAAGTTCAGTCAATTTTCACTTGTAAACTTGACAACTGTTTGAGTTTTATGTGTGGGTACTGGGATTTGGGAATTAATGGTTCATGTCTTCCAATTCAGCCAATATAAAACCCTGCATCAAGACAAGACATGAGTTGGTACTAATTTTCCTATTACTTTTTGTGATATCTTGTTTTGCAGTTATGATCCTACAAGGAAATATCGTAGTTCCGGTAACAAGGAACATGATGAACAGCAGAGGTTGAAACATCGTCATCGTAGAGAGATGAAGGGTGCCGTCAGAGAGATCCGGAAAGATACTCAGTTTATTGCTCGACAGAAACTCAAAGAACAGAAAGAGAGGTGAGCTGACATTGGGTTATGGCTATTTGAATAATCTTAATTGTTATGTGAAGATGGGGCTCATTATTTATCATTTTGTTCTTTCCCTTCAGAATCCTTTTCGTACACTACTTCCACTTTCTCTCTCTCTCTCTCTCTCTTCCAGAATGAACCCTTTTCTTTTCTATTTCTGTCATCAATTTATCCTTTCCTTCAGATTTGTGTTTGTTATCTGGCCACTATCCAATTTATTATCCTTCGCTCTGTCTATCATTGACTATGTATCATTCGTTCTGACATCTTTCTTTCATTTCTACAGGGATGATGAGAGGAAGGAGAAGGTCATGCGTCTTCATCAGATGTTAGCGACCCAGGAAGGAGATTTCAGGGATATCAAACGCAAGAAGCGAAAACCGTAAAGGGATCACCTTATCTTTCACCTCCTAGCTTCCTCCACATGCCTTGTCTACAGGCGGAACTCCTTGCAGGTGGCAAAGTGGATTTAAAGGGTCTGAAAAAACTGTTCAGACTAGACTACTCCATAGGCCCTGTACTGTAGCTGCTCCGAGTTTAACACAACCATAGAGACTGACAGAATGTATGCATGAGCTTTATTGAATTTGTTGAAGTATCAAAATAAGGCCTGTGCCTGCAGACTACTCTTCTCACTCTATGTTTCATATGGACCAGTAGAGAATTAAGCCGGTTTTTAGGTAACCAGTTCTGAAAGTGCGCACCCAAATGCCCTGGAGCAGTTTCAGAGGCGTATCACATCTAAGGGTAATGTGCTGTAGTGATGGACTCTTTAAGTTCTTTTGATACTAGCTCAAATTAGAAAAGTGCTTGTTTCAAGAAAACAATACGAGCATGGATTTGAGAGATTGCAGCTACACTGGTACAAGTAACAATAACTTACAAGACTCTTTTTACAGTCTTCTAAGATAACCACACAGCAAACATTTAAAGCAGGATGCAGGATAGAGCCTTGACGTTTAACCCTACCAAGTCTTAATGAGTACAAGGTTCTGGTAGGTAGGGAAAGATCAAGAAGGTGTTCCATTGTCTTCCCTGACCCCCCCCCCCCCCCCATACGTAGTTTGCCCTTTTTCATTTGAACCCATTTCTGCATACATATACTGGTACATATTCTCATCATCCATTTACTCTCCCAAGGTAATATAGATGTAGGACACGCTCATTTGAACCCGATAGTAGGGGGAGTCACTTGGACTGAATGAAAGCTTGTGAATGTTCACACTATAGAGGTCATTTATCTTGTTTGACCCTAATTATCATATAAACCTTCCTACCAATCTATTTCTTGACATTGAATTTTATAGATTACTTAATCAATGGATTACAAAGGCAATAAGCAAGTTCGTAATTAGGATTTGCACATGGGCAGATAAAGGTCATTCGTACCCAAATTGTAAAACCATTGAGACGAATACTCGGATCGTGCCCTTGGAAGTTATGTAATCAGTATTCATTTATGCACCAACAGTATATTTATCTGATACACAGGTGGAAGTATTCTTCTCAAGAGGCAAACAAAAGGTATTCATGAAGCACCTCCATTACTTCGGCAGTGATTATTCTAAAATGCACACGTGGGAAGTATCCATTGTGTCAAAGATCTGTTGATATTTTGGGGTCATGCGTTCCAGAGCTATTTACGAACTCGCTTATTGAATGACAGCCAAGTGATCTAAATGGTTATTATTTCTCCACCATGGAAAGTGGCGTCTGATCAGGCAAATAGTGGGAGGAGGGGTCCATTTCACAAAACACAATGACTAGCCTCCATAAAGTGGGCTCAGACCCTTGTGATTCCCCTCATATGCTCCTCCCCTAATCATGTTGAAATAAGAGCTTTGAATGTAATTATACATTGCTCTTTAGGTCAAAGAGCAACTTTTTTGTAATTGTCAAGATTTTCCCCTTTTTTTCTTCTCATGTACATTTAGATCTGTAATACATGTAATTTTTTATGTATAATTAAATGTTACATCTACGTTTCAATAAAGTATACATAGATGCAAAGAAATTAAAGGATTCATTTGTACTGACCATTTGCTAGCCTTATTCCAGACCCTTCACTAAAATTAACTAAAAGGAACAATAGTGTAACAAACCTGACCACTAAGCACAGACTAGCCCCATGCAAACTAACTGCTATCTGATTGTTGACAAAAAAAAAAGCTATTGCAGCATCATTGGCTACGTGATTGCAACACCTTAATTGTCCAGATTAAGGTTTATAACGGCCATATGAAGAGTTTTGTCAAAGTTGTGGGACGTTGCAGATCTTTTTCATAGAGAAAATCCCAAATCAGCTCCAAAGCGAGGAAAGTATGTAGACGGTTCTGACCGAAATACCATACACAGCCAATGAGGCCTGTTCTCTCATCTGAAGGCTTGCAACAACCATCATTTAGGATCTTTTGTATTAATGTGACGTTTAAGAAACCCCAAGCAGAATAGTTGTAGCGAAGGATATTGCAAGTAACTACAATCACTGTTGAATTGTAAATTGTGCAGTGGGCTTAAAGATAAAGTTGAGTTCTGGTCATGTGATTGCACTGTGAAAGAATCGGTGAAGAAGCGATTGGAACAGGGTTATCATGTAGCACAGAACTATTGGTGTGTACTGTGAGGTTTTGAATTCAAAGAGAAAAGAAATTGGCCCAGTCCTGTTAATAGTCACTTGTTCTGTACACAAGAATGCATATATGAGACTACACGAACATGTTGCACGCATTGTGGCCTACAACAGTTGCTAAGACACTCTTCCACTCTTATACTTACAACAAACAAAAAACACTCACCAATCATTATTCACCTTTCCAAGAACTCTCTTTAAAATAAAACAAGAATAAAAGAGTGCTGACAATTCTCTGTGGGTGATGAAAGACATCATTCCAATTTTTTATTGAAAATAACCCTGCTCCCTCAAAAAAGATACACAGAAATCCCCAAGATATAGTCTACAATATTTCACATATACATCATTCACAATTAGTCATTTTAGCACAGGCTTTTTTTTAAAGGTGCAATTTTGAACAACTTCAAAGAGAGCAATGAATTTTAATATAAAGCAAAAGATAAAGGCTTAAACATAAATTCTTTAAAGGAGATAATACATTCTGCCTGTATAACCTTTGAATATAAAAGTGCTCATAAATTGCTTGTAAAAAAAGAGGGTATAAAAGCTACAGGGTACTCTAATTGTTAAAACATTTGCTTAAAAGGCAACACAAATTACAGAATTTATTTTTAAAAAAGTGTTTCAAATTGCAAAAGAAAACTAACTTGTGGTTTTTACATATACCATCACCATATAATGGCATGATAGTATAATTATGCTCGAGTTGTTTTGTTCACATTTTTTGCATGTCCGTTAACAGAGCAGAACAAAAAAAATATCGTAGTTTAAGATGATGATAAAAGTGTTGAATCAGCAAGCTTTCATATGGGCATCCTTACCCCCCTCCCTTTTCCAAAGTATTTTTCTTAATCTGAATAGTCACGAAACATGTTAGCATTCCACCAAGCCGTGTGCCAAACACAGAATTATCACAAGACCTAAAATAACATATAATAATAAATCAATATATTTTGGTTTAATTATATTAGATACATTGCATGATAATTGCAAATAATAACATATTCCGTTAAAAATATATTAACCCATTATACAAATAATATACATATATGTGAATAATCTGCTATATAAACATATTAATATCTCAAATCTATCAGGAATTAATTAGTGTACCCAGACATGTAAAGCCCTAATTAGTATTATTTGCTTAGAGTCGGAACATTATCTCCCTGTAATTAAGCTCCTGGCCTCGGCAGAAGATATGATTATCTGGTGAATAACTGAATAACATATAATGATAATAATTGGGGTATATTTCTAGCCAGGGAAACAGAAATATCTACAACAGATTTTTTAAATGTAATTTTGATGTTTTTGTTTTATATCTCCACATTGCCAGTCATGTAGAGCCCTATTAAAGTCAATGTACTGTAAGCTGAGAGCCAGGAGATTAACTCACTGTATACAAGTTGACACCTTTCTTGCCTTGGCAGACATTACCATACATGTGTCTTGCCTGAATCTATAGCAGATTTTTTGGGGTGAATTTTGCTGTTCTTGTTTTTGTTTTGACAATCATTTCAATGAACTAAGATCCACATGAGCAGTATTATTCCATATACCCACAGGTATATGAAAAATTCTTTAAAACAGAAAGCTAATGAAATGTAGCTATGTTACATGTATCACATCCATGCCCATTATTATGTACATGTACATTTAATGACTTGCTAATATTCTGAGCAAATATACATGATTTTGTTCCAACCTGAAAACTACACTGGTCTAATCTGATTAAATCAAAACAAGAAGCAAAAACAACAAAACAAATATATTTTGTAATGGCTTTTAAAGCATTAGTATAAAAAGCATTGATTTTCTTCTCCCTTGCCTAATAACCTAGCATTGAATTGCAATATTCTGATCACGTTTCACACCATTACGATCTATCATACACAGTTTGGATTTGTACAAAATTTAGGTGAAGTGATGCAGCATTTTGTTAGCAACCATATTCATTGCATATCAAATACATATTACCACAAAATGAAAGAAACCAAGTTATAATACTTTGATCATAGAAATTACTTCAACTGAGAGAAAACTTTAGTTGGAACTATTCATTTCATTTATTTGTTAGGACACTTCTTAACCTCCTCGTTAACTTACCTAGATTTACTCTCTTACATATCACACTGCCGTTACTCAGTTTGACTTCATCAGTAACAGAATACATTCATACACTAGTGTATTTATTCCAGGGTTAAGCAATTACATTACTTTATATTTCTTTCCTTCACCAAATTACAAATGAAGGCTAACTTGGATGGATTGATAGACAATGAGAGAGAGAGAGGGGGAGGAAGAGATAAAATATAAAATCATTTTGAATTAAATAATGCCTATATCAGGATTTTTCGCCTCGATTAAAGCTGGGTCATCCTACACATACATGTACAATAAAATCTCTTACACCAATGACAAATTTGGCATTTCTTTTTCCTTTCATTCAAAATAAAAAGTAATATGGTGCCTTTTCACAATGTTTTGTCCTAGATTTAAAGTTGGATTTAAATTGAACATAAAGATATGTTATTCTCATTTGACTGGATCTAAATGCTACATTAAAAACATACATACATGTATATTTCACTACATGCCTGTTTAAGTGAATATGTGCTCGAAATTCTGCACTGGTGTATTCATTGAAGATAAACACAGATAAATTACACATACTCTTTCAAAATATCAAACATAATACTCTTCACAAAGTGACCTTAGTAGACAAAATGTGCTCACATTAATTACATATCATACAGATCATTTATACATGTATATACACTAATACAATCTCTGCTTCATAAAATACATTATTTCATATTCTGATTAAAAAGATTCCTGCATTCTAACTAATTAATCCAATGACTATTGAATTTTCTAATACCCATTGGCTTAATACACAGACCAATTGATTCCTGTGTGCAATGGAATGCTGCATCTAGGTACATAAATTGTCTCGTGATTTCAAACGATACGAGTTACTTCTATTTCATTGTTTACGGGACAGAGTGCACAACAAGGCAAATAAAGCATGAAAACTATTTTCTTTTCATGTATTCAGTTTCAAAATAGAATAGGTACTCAATTTGTAGATTACTTCTGCCATGTTTCATTCTGCATTTTCTACATGCTCACAAAAGAAGACGAGAACAACCTGTGGCCAACATCTTTCTATTAAATTTTGCGTTGTGTTTTTCAGGTATTTTGAAATGGATGTATGCTAAATTTTCATCCAACCTTCTAACATTCCACATAAAATATAATGTTGATGGAAGAAAATTTCAATGTAATTTTTCATGTTGTATTAAACATGTGCTAATAGAAAGTCTATACTTATCAAAGCTTTTATGCTAATACAAGACTTCAAGGTAAATAATGAATTACAAATCAACTTAATTAAGTATCATGTAAGTAGCATTATGGATCAATTCATATTATCTACAATGAAATACTAGCTGTTTGAGTTGAAGCAAACATTTGTGAATGAAGTTATTCTATGTTCAAAGCCGAAAATCTCTGTAATAAATGGGATAAAATCTATCATATTGCACAAATCAACTCGGTCTTTATCATGCACAATGTCAATGGCTAATGGAATGGGCAATATTACCAATATTTCAGGTTCCAATTTGTATAAGAAAGACTGATTTAATTTCACACACCACTTTATCTATAAATAAAAAAGGGGCTACATGAATGTTCAATGATTCGCATATCAGTAAAACAAATTGTAGCATCTTTAAAAATACAAAATCTATGCCACATGTACCATATTAAGAATACTACCGATAAGCAAATTTTTGGTACTTTTTCCCCCCAAGGATTCCTTTTCATTTCAACCTTCTAGCTGTTTTATACTGGTTTATATTTCTTGACCAAAACAGTGCTTGGATCTTTGAGTTCAATACCTTGAAATCTTGATTGTTGGTCTTACATTTATTGGTATTAAGATGAAGTGTACCGGTATAGAAAACTCATTAGCAGATGATGGGACTGTCTTAATTGAGTTGACTATTGTTTGGCATGGGTGACTTTCTTGCACAAAAGTATCCAATCTACAAAATTTAAAGCCTTTGTCTAAAAATGTTGCAAGCAAGGTGCATTATTATCATTTTTAGTCACCACACCACTGTTTCCAAATTTATAAGTGAAAATGGTTTGTGATGTGGTAGCAGGATTGACATGGTCTTGGAGGACCGGAGAGGGCTCATGACGTGAACGCTAGCCAGCAAGGTGCACAATAAATATTAATTTATATTTCGCGACGAATTATAGTCACTATGGTCTTAGCTGATAATCATGAATAGCTTCTTCAAAAACAATAAAACTTCTTTTGAACAATTAGATGTCCAGTTTTATACTTTGCTTCAAAACTCTATTTTATATAAAAGGAATTATAAGCACAGTAATGAAAGAATTGAATATAACAAAGTTAACCAAATCCTGTATATCTGATGCAATAATGGAATACTACTTTATACCAGTAAGTGTTTCTAGCGATATGTATTTTGAATACGCTCTGCTACCATGCACTTTACTGTCTCTCTAACCATAGTCATAGATTAAATGAACACATATAAATCACATCAGGTAGGCATATTATGTAGTAAGAATTTATAAAAGGCTAGTATTTACCTACATTTTTGAATAACGAGTCTATACATTGCAAGAAAATATACATAAATACACTTGATATATTACGCCCAAAGAGCTTTTTCTAGTACAACTACATAAAAATGCACCATAATCAAACATGATACAATTATTATTTTAATATTATAACTCCTCCATGAGGTAAAAAAAGATATTATAAAACATTTTAGGGACTTGGCTTTACCTCCCTCCATTGAAAGTGGAGCTCTTTTTGGTCACCTTAATACATTCAAATTTCAGATATAAGCACTTATATCATCAGTCCATCACTTGTATATATATGGAATAATAGATGTAAATCATAATTCATCAGTATAGTCACATGACTAATTACCTGGGTAACAAGGTTGATTAATCTTACAGGTTATTGACCTCACTGTAATAAGGCTCTGGTTCCTCCTTGGGAAGAGATGGTTGTCGCCGTGGCGATGGCACTGGTCTCTCCTGCCTCTCTTCTACCAAGGAGTAGTCTCCTGATTCTCCAAAGACATTGTTGACGGTAAACTTGGCCCTAGAGGCTCCATTGTGATGCGCAGCGGCAGAGGAGGAGTCCGGTGGTGGTGGGATGAAGTCCGCTGAAGCGTAACGCTCATCACCGCTATCATGGATGAAAGCTGGGTTGTTCTGAATCTCAATCTCTTGAGATGATGAGGAGATGATGGAGGATAGCGTAGAGGAGGGGGTTGAGGGAGGACTATCTTCTTGATGTACGGTGCTATAGATTGGTTCTGGTATAGGTGGTTCTGGTATAGGGGGTGATGGATCACTGGTAGTGGAGGTAAGAGGGGATCTCTTAGGAGCCACGGGAGGCACGATGGTTGTCCTATTCGGTGGAATACCACTGTCTAGACTAGTACTGCAGGTTAAAGATCTGTTTAGTAACAAAGAGATAAATCAGTTATTAACTGTGGCTCCAAGGCCAAATACAATCAAACCTGTCTACCAAGGTCACTCAAAAGAAACAGAGTAACTGCTCTACATGTACTTGTAGATTGGTGGCCTTTCTAGACAGGTTCTAAATCAATATACACTGTAAACCTGTATCCCCACCACCATGAAAACCCCTACCTTCAAGGAACTATTCAAATAATTCTTCTGAGATAATATACATGTTAGTGACCACTGTATACAGGTGGCCACTACGATTGTTGGTTTGATGGTACTTATAGTTAGGGGTACATGTATACAGTATGTAAAGCTTTCATCTTTCTTTATGTAATTTTAAAAGACTGTTTGAAAAAACTTTGTTCAGAAAATGTCAACTTGCTTCTGCTTGGTGTATTATAATGGAATAGATGTGTTTGTTTTTTTACCAGGAAATCTCATTATTACCGTAGATGTTCGTTGCCAATCACATACACATGCCAACTGAATAATACATGAAAATAAACAAACTGTCATGCTTCTGTAGATCCATTTGGAAGAACTTGATATCAACTGCAACAACGTCTCAAAATCTGAGTACCTAGCTCTTCAAAGCCTATTTAATTGAAATATATGCGTTCTGTGACACTGTTTAATTACTTGTTAAGATATACAGATGAAATGAAAAGCGAAGAATATACAAGAGTACATAGAACACCAAGCAATGATTAGAAAAGAGTTGTGACTGATCAAAATTGATCGTAAGTCCTTTTAAAACCTCTCCTTGTTCTTGTGCCAAGTTTTAAAAAAAAGAAGCAAATCCTGGATCCGCTCCTGCTTTGATACAAGAGATGAATGAACATATATACTTCCTACTTCTACATAGATACATGCATGCATATCAAGATGCTACATTGACCACAATGCACTATTGAGATGACATCTGACATTCAAACACAAACAGCAGTCTCACATAACAATCACATGATGCATGTGAACCAACTAAAAAAGCATGTGACGTCAGAAAGACATGTCTAAAATCCAAGATATCTATTAGCATGAAGTCATTTGAAGCTATTAAGAAATCATGTAGAAATCTATCAGCATGGACATATCAATTTTATTTTATGTTCATATTTTCAAGTTAAAACATCTCAAGCAGGTCTTCGTTATCAAAAATGAACATGATGAAATATTAATAATTTCTGTTGCTAACTGTTACTGCCTTTAAATATACAAGTAAACAGCTATTTTTCAATCATCCTAATCTTTACATACCATCAATCTATAACAAACTGCCTTGATATTATATCATGAGTGTTACTAATCCATTAAGCACCATGAGCACCGAAAGGTGGACCTGTGCGCTATACAAGTAGCCACTATCATTATTATTTATTAATATTAAAAACTAAAGTCTGGGTATACTCACCAATCAGAAATATATCTAAAATGAACTATTTTCAATTAGGATAGTGATGCAAGAGAGATTTTTTTTTAATGATTTTCATTACACATAAAAGTTGCACTGTATGATGTACTTGTAGAGCAAGCAGTATGAAACAAAAGTAAGAAACGATAGCAAGCAACTAGACACAGTCACATCTAAAAGATGTTTTTATCTTGAGGAAGAGCTCATTTAAAACACACCCCAAAAAATGGAAGACGGCACAGACAGCAAGCAATCTGAGATGTTCACATACAATCTGAAGGACATTTCTGTCTTGAGAAAGTGCATATTTGAAAGCATGACTACGGTATGACCCCAAAGAGAGCAAGCACAACAAGCAACTAGATGCTTTCACATTTAATCTGAAAGAGGTTTCTACCTTGGACTAGAGCGTTTATAAGCTGTGGGTTGTGGGGATGGTCTCGCACCTGTTGGGAAACAACAATCAATGTTTAGACATGTATTCTACTGTGCTTAATGCTTCATCTTTTTATACAGACTATTCATATCACATCTTCTGAAGAAGTTTAACTTCATTATATTGGCAATACAGTTTTTATCATGTCACAAATAATAAGTTGTGTAACTTTTTTTTTTAAAGAAGACAAGGCTCATCTACAAACATTTAAGCCATTTCAACAAAAATAGGATTTTTGTTTCATATAAAATAGGGAAATACAGCCATTTTTATTCTAATCTTTTGCAATTTTTAAAACTAAATAACATGGCTGGGTTCAACATAAACACAAAATCGTAAAACATAAAGTCTACAAAATGAAACATAAGGCAGTTGATAACAAAATTCTAGAACGTCTATAACAAAAATCAGTAAATTCTAAAAATGCTTTAATACTAGTACGCACTGACTTGTGTTTACTTTTGATGAACTTGTACCTTATCTACGTGCATCTCAAATGAGTTATAAGATATTGTTTGCCTGTATAGGTTTGGTAAGCTGTGAGGTCTTGACGACAGTTGTAACATGATGACCTGATGGTGTATGCCTTATAATTTACTTCCACATATCCTCCAATAGACTTATTATATTTGATTTTGATTTTGTATTACTTGTAATTGTCAGTTGTCAATTTTTACAGTTTTGTATACTGTACACCTCATCAAATCAGCCTTGAATGGCCGCCATTGAAGTTTCGTCTAATAAACCATAATGAGTGAATGAATTATGTATATCGCATTATTGCATATTAGTTTATGACAAGTACAAAAGTGCTATATTACAAATAAAATAGTATCAGCTACCACTGAAATGAGTTATATCCTGCACATTGCATATATGTTCAGTGAAGGTTCCTTACATGAGTATATGAAGAGATGGAATGGAATAAATGTACATCTAGGGTTAGTAGCTACCTGTATGACATATAAAGCTTCATGTTCTCAAAGGTTCTATCGTTTGAGAGATAAAATATAGATATATATTCATGATTATTGCAATTTCCTACCTTCCTCTTCAAAGGTATCCATGAGTATGTTATACTTGTACATACCGGTAAGTACCCAGCACTCAACACTAACAGGCACCTGGGGTACAAGGGCATCCAAAATTGAAGTGCGGACCCCTAAAATTGTTACGGTTTTACAAAGGGCCCTTGAACAGTTCAATCTAGATCTACTCATAAGTTAGTAGCTCTGTTGTACAGATAAATAGATTGTATTAAAATCATGAAGACCTAAATACCTGTAGGAATGAAGAATATGAGAGTATTAGATGAATGTAAGAAGGATGAATATTAATTACTTGTTGCAGGAGGTTCCTTTGAGCGTTCCTTTCTTTTTTGCAGCATTTTCATTAACTGTGGGTCTGCTTCTGTCTGTGTTGATCCTTTTGGTAGGGGTATTCTGGGTCTGTTTTTATTCTTGTTCTTCAAAGTTACCTGCAACAAAAAAGAGATTATCCATTTTTAAGGTTTACAGGCCTTATTTATATTTCTTTTAACATTACTTCACTTTTGTCCTTTAACTATAAATAGATTTTTAACACTCAAATTATCAATAAAAGGTGTATATGACTTGGGACCGGGTTTAAATTATAAATATATCAATGTACAAGAAAATCTACACCATATGCAAACTGTTTCTTGATCGGCATTCAAGTATATCAAACTTGCATTTTGAATTGAATATTCAGTAGGTCACCACTCCATATCTGGCATTCTCTTAATTAGAGACTATTTAAAGAGATGCACTTCTACTCCAGAATAAAAATAATAACCCATTTTTCAGAATATGATTTAAAGGATACTGAAAGAATATCTCATTTCATTCTATTCTATTCACAAGGTACATCAACAAAATGAATGCAAGAATCCTAAGCTTTCCAAAGCACCCTCAAGTCCAAGCCCCCCTCTTCCCAAAAAGATATTGATAAATGATTTTTTTTTTTTTTTTAAATGTATAAATACATCAATATATTCTTAGAACTGCTTCTCATTCCGGCATTCAAAAGAATCATACTTTGATATCTTTGAAGTTTTAGTTGAATATAATCCATAATTCATTACAAAGATGAATCAATGATATAACCAATATGAAATCCTGTCAAATTATGAAGAGATCGAGTGCGTTGGTCATTACTAACCAATATATTATCCAGTTCTTGTACTGCGTGTGTTCTCTTGATAGACTGTGATGATCTTGGGTCTCTTGGTTCGTCCTCTCTGCTAGGTTTGCTGACTGGTTTCAGAGCAATCTGACCTTTCTTAATCCTGGAAATCATATCCTGCATAGCTGTCTCAAACTGCTTCTGATAACAATCCAAATTTCCTTCAGAAATAAAACATAAAACAGACCAAACTGTTAATAAACATGCATGTTAAAGGTATTACAGTCAAACCTGTCTGTCGCCCAAGGGAAAAACAAAAATAACAAATATATTTATTTATTCTGATAGTTTAAACACATCTATGAAATGTTTAATGACCCTGGTTTTTGAAGGACCTATAGGAATATTAACAATAATAGGGGGAATGGAATACTTACTACCATCTACTCCGGTTTCTGTCTTTTTGTTGTGATTTCTTCTTTTAATGATCTTCTGCAGCATTCTATCAAAACAAATAACAATAAAAACAAAAATAAAGACAATGATTGTATTGACAACAGAAAAAACAACATAACAAGAACATATGCCTTTAAGTAGAACAGCTACTGTTTAAAATAAACCTCTCCTTCACTTAAATACAAAGTAGTACACGTGTGTATTATTACCAGGCTTTACCAGGGCTACCATGGTAAGGTACTCAAGGGTTCTATTAATTTCTTCCTAACAGTGAATGGCTGTACACATATACATCCCCTTGGCTTTGAGCATATTAGAGTTGTGACAGGAATTCAAACCACATACAATGTGATCCATAGGTTGCTGATTTATCCACTAGACCATAACAACTCTACTAAGAATCCACCAATCAGATGGGTTTGATCAATCTTACACTATAAGTGAGATCAAAGAAACATCAAATGACTACAATATATAAAGAAATTTCAGAGCTTATGATTTTAAGTTAATGGTCAGCATTGGTAAAAGTGAAATGAGTGAAATTTAGATTTCTTTGAAAATATTTTGTTGTGGTAAATTTTTTTTTTAAATAGTCAGAATCCATCTCAGCTGAAAATAAAATTGATATCAAATGTAACGTAACAGAAACATGATTGTAACTTTGTGATAAGTTGGTGGACTGGTAATCAGTGTGGATCAACGGAAACTCTTTAATCTCTGGACATAGTGGGCAGTATACTCACTCTAGTGGATTCTTAGGAAGTACGGGCAATGGTGGAGGTGGTGGTGGAGGTGGAATATTAGGAAGACTGGGTTTACTCAGCGCTTCTTTCAGTTCATAGGCCAGTTCCTTAGTCCTGAGATCTAGTTCCTGGACCCTCTTCTCTAGAGACTCGTTCTCTTCCTTAGCGATGCTTAGCTTGTTCTCCAGGGTTTCCATCTTCTCACGATTCTCAGACAGCTCCAGCTCATCTTGTAATCTCTTCAGCTGTCATCAAACATTTAACATTGATCACATTAACCTCTTGGATACTATTCAATTTTGGTCATAACACATATTTTCTATAAACTCCAAGAGATACCACAGGTTTAGTATTCAGACAGTTATTACTTGAATCAGAGAGCTTCAGCTCATCCTATAATCTTACAACCTCTATTACGCTGTTCATATTTATATTTGAGTCTTGATTTTCTGGTCAATTATTTAGAAAATGATAAATGGCATTTTCTCCATCTGTTCTGAACTATTTCAAGCTAACATATGAATAATTGGATCCTAATTTTCAAATCAATAAATCAGAAAAAGGTCTATTTGGGGTTAAACAAATCTATAATGAGAAGGATATATGTATATATTTGTTTAAACATTGGTATAAATCCATGAAATGATTATGCAGAGATATATGTACATGAATGTACAATCAGACTATTCATATGTATCTGTGTATACTGTGACAAACAAGCTGTACTTTGTTTGCTGCTGCTAATCAATTAGAGACTCTATCCTATAAACCTCATGATATAATACCCTGAAGCTCACTCTTAATCTTTCCTCTGGGAGCGAGAGCACCTGTCTTACATTTACGAGTCTGTTCCATCATGTGTAGTACATGATTTATTGCAGCAAGCACCGTCCTAGCTAGCTTACACCTACCTACCCTCTAATCATTACTTGTCCTAGCTTACACCCACCTACTCACTAATCATTGCTTGCTGTAGTCACATGTAACCCAACCCTCGTACGTACCAGACCCTATACAATCAGAGTATGTCTACATCAGTGGTTTGGAAGACACTCAGACAAGGTATTTTAATCACATTTCAGATAAGACTTTCAAGCTTTCTGGACATGCTATCATCCATTCAGAGTTGGAAGGGTGTTAACTCATATACACATTTTCAGAGAGCCAACACACTTCTGGCTCTGAACTGATAAGATATGAACTTGTATCATTCTCTTTTACATGTAGATGATAAATAAGGAAGTCTGAGAGTCTAAATTGGGATTTTGATGTTTTTGTGGTAATTTCCCCTAAATAAAATATTTCTCAATGAAGAATTGTACAAGATGTATACAGAGTAAATTTTGCAGCTTTTCACACATTTTAGAGTTTAAAATTCTATAAAACAGGAAGTACATTTGTTGAGTGACATTTCGGGTATGTACCTGCATATAAGTTGATGCATAATAATACAGAGTTGAGGCTATTATTTGAAAAAGCTATTCATACCTCAAGTTTATGCCTCTCTTTCTCCTCTTCCAGTTCCTTTGTGAGGTTCTCCATCTCTGACATGCTTTGAATGAGTTTATCATCTCCACTGATAGCGTCACTTACTAACATCGCACTCTGACGCTTGTAAGCATCTGCTTCCCGGTTCTTTGCATAATACTAGAAAACAAAAACAGATGCAAAAACAAACTAGTCAAAAAATAGTCTAAAATAGTTAAAATACCTCAACTACAGTCACATTTTGCTTCAGTATAGCTGTATTAAATGTATCTCATGATCTTTGAGGTAAAGTAGGTTTGTTAACAACAACTTAAAAATTGACTACAGTCAATTTAAGAGAAATATAATTCGAATTCTACCAATAGAATGTCTTCTATACAACAAAGATATACTGCAGATATTGACTTTATTCAGAATTTGTATTCATTCAACTGGGTATATCAAAATCATTTTCTTGTCTGAAAACTGAGGAACTGATGATTGATAAACGTTTCACCTCTACCTCTTTACTCACAAGCAGATGAAAAGTTTTAAATAAGACTATTACAATGGTCAATAAAAAGAAAGAAAAACCTCTAATGAAATAATAAAAGCTTTAAATTAATGAACTACTACATTCTAATTAAAGACACAGTAGGCATTCTAACCAAGAGCTAATCCCAATTAAACTGGTTATCAATACTAAACCAATACTAAACCAGTTAAATGGATGCGCAGCTCATGCCTGAATTAACATCATTTATAAAGCTTCATACAAATGTGCTTACTCCAGTATCAAAAGAATCTCAAGCAATTCTTCTGTGTTATAATATATTTAAAAAATGTGCTAATTACCTCTGATGCCATTAGTTCAGCTTGTTCCCTCATGGCGGATTCCTTCTCATATAAGCTCTGTACCTCATTAAATTCATTGTACACCAAGGTGGATACTAAAGAATACAAACAAACAAAAACAATACAGTATATAAATTTAAATAATTAAATATTAATTTCATCTGGAGTTTAATATTTGATGCTACTGTACAATACCAAACCTCTGAGGCTAACTTCAGTCATTGCGGATTCCTTCTCATTCTGTTAAATTCATTATATACCAATGTTGATACCAGAGAGCCATGCCAATAAATGAAAGTAAGTAGTCATAATTATGAATATTATATTCAACATTTGATGATTGCACTATTTCAAGCTTCTCACCCTTAGATACAAACTCCTTAGATGAGATAAAAATAGATATGAACAAAAATAACAATGTAGAATTTTGTACACAGGCATGCATTATAGTATAGGAGGTTGCTTGAAGGGAGAGGGAATGTGGTCCCTGTGTGCCCCCCCCACCCCCCCCCCCCCCAAAATGATATGCCACTGTAGCAGTCAGCCAATAATCTCTAATTGGTGCGACGTGCTTAGTCACAAGATTCATCTCCCTGTATGTCACTTGAATATAAACAATCAATCTAACACTCACATGCAGGCACCATCAATGTTTCATTGACTACAGAGATCACAGGTATTAAAATGTCATACCATACCATAGCATGTGTGATAATAAATAACAACCATTTGATTCGATTTTTCCAATTTCATGCCAAATCATTTTTTTTTGCAATTACTAGAAAGAAGCCCATATCATGACAGTTAGTTTAGTTTCTAATCATGGAAAAATAACTACAGCTGTTCATGGCAATTGATTTAAGCCACCCCCCCCCCCCCCCCCCTGCAAAAAAAGGGTCACAAATAACCTGTTTTATCATAGGCATATGCTTGCAACAAATATAAATCTATTCAAAGTAATAATTTGCCATTAACTCTTTTCAATTATCCATACATACAAGCTTGCAATGAACGCTCATATCAATGGGCATTGTTCCGTTGACATTAAATTTAATCTTAGATTCATGTGTACAATCATGTAGCTAATAATGAGCTCTATTGGCATTCTAAATATGAACTTATATCACATACATGAGAGAATGATGAAATAAATGCTACTGACCTCTCTTGAGCTGATTGATGATATTATCTCTTTCTTGTAAGGCCTTTTTGGTTTTCTCATGGGCAATAGTCTCCTGTTTCATCTGAAAAATACAAATAATAAAGTTTGCTTTAAACTGTGACTATTAACTCTTTAACTATTGAATTCTCAAATACCCCTTTGTTTAATATAGGAACCATCCAGTTCCAGTAGAGAATGGATTATCAAGAACTACAATATATGATTGATACATGTACATGTACAATTTATTATGACAAATAACAGAGCAAAATGTTGTCTTTGATTAATGTTATTTTGCAGTAATTTCTCTGTTCAGAGCTATCAGGGCATCTTGATCAATAACAGAATAATTATAAGAATATTGAGATTGCTCTTAGGATAAGGTACATGTACACCTAGCTCTAGTACAAGCACGGGCAGAAGGTAAAATGGAGTTTGTTGAATATTGTAAGGAAAGAGACAAACATGAACTAGGTAAAAACTGAAATGGCTTCTTTTTTTTTTAATAGGGAAAGAGACATATAGCAAAAGAAACATTTCATTTGACCTGAAGTGAATATATTAATTAGATTGTATTCGTACCTGTTCTTTGAGTTGCCCAAGCTGACTATAAGCAGCAGAAAGACTATCTTGAGCGATGTCTCTCTCTTCCATTGCATAAGCTATATCCTTCTTAGAATTGAACAGCTCATCCTTCAACACTGTAGTTGAAATATTAAATTAAAACAAAATTTAAGAAACAAGAATTCATGAAAAGTGAGAAATTCATGAAAGAACTTGGGATAAAAGATGATTAATATAAAGTGTGATAGGATTTAAAGAAATGTTTTACAGATTTTAACACTATTTGTTTGTATATTGTAATTAACACCTGTCAAATATCCATACAACATGCTGTACATCTAAGAATATGTTTGAAATGTTCCTTTGTGAAAATAAATTTTTCTCAAATAAATCAATTTTCTCAGCCATAATATTATTTTCTGTAAATGTATTTTACATTTTTTATCAATCAATTCATGTTTTGTTTATCTATATTTCAAAACCTTTAACACAAAATGTCATTAATAAAAAGAAAGACCATAAATGTTTACAATATTCAATATTCACTGCCACAAAGAGGACAAAAACTGTAAATATTGTGCATGCAACGAGTGCTCAAGTTCCTCCATCATATCTATGTAAATGAGATGAAGAGGAGGAGTAGGAGGACAGGAGACAGAAGAGCAACAATTTATTTGGCTGGGAGCCTGTGAGAGGCCATTACTAGCTAGCAGTGTCTCCATGCTAATAACATTGCACTCAAGTCAGGCTCTTGTAGGCATGCATGCTTTAAAGGTCTGGATATTGCAGATATTGCAAAAATAGCCTAGAAAATATCTTCCCCACCTACTCATCTTCACAATAGAAATCAGAATAGATGCTCATGGTTAAGAATAAATTCAACAGAAAAAACCCATACCTAATTATGGAAGACATTCTATCATAATTCATCAAATTTTCTGTCAAATACTCCTTCATTTACAACATTTACAACTGATGTTTTTAAATCATTTCAGAATGTCTGTACTGCATGAATTAACATTATACTGAGATGAGAATTGCTTTTTATCCATTATGTGTTATTCACCTATATAATTTAAGATTACAATTGTGATTTTTATTCACTGCCAAAATCCATTTTTGTTCTCTCTTTATCTTTACCATTTAGGACTTAAATTCATGATTCGTTGCCGAAATCAAATTTCGTTTAATTCCTTTGAGCCATTGTATATAGCACATCACGACCTGTAAACACAGTATTCTTTAAAGCTATAAAAATGGACCAAAAATACAGCAAGCATTCTGATGATACTTGACTGGATCTCAAGCTACATTGGAAGTGAGAGATTGATATGAAGGAGATAGATTCATAGTGAAAACAGCTCCCTTGAAAAGTGCCTCTCTAGCATCGAAGAAGACAACATCCATTATTTGAATGAGCACGCTAAGGACCACTTTCTAATGGCTGTCATTCTAAGCTTGGCCATATCTGCACAGTTGCTCTTCTTATGCACACAGATACACAAGCAAAGTGCAGTATACAGTAACGTTTAAGAGTCTACATCAATTTACAAACAAACAAGCTATAAAAGATTTTGAAGTTGCCCAATAACAATATATCCTAGTATTAAATGAGGAGTATTTTCTAATGAATCTTTAATCCAGACCTCTTCCTTTTTCCATTATTGGTTAGTACCGGTAAATTACAATGAATATTATGCACTATGACCCAATTGTATTGACAGATGTTAGTTCATGTAGGATAACGTAAGATTGGTTTTACCAAACCACCTGTATTAAATGACCATTTGTCTAGTATACCCTGTATAACCACTACTCGTATTGGTTATTGACACCCTACTTCTTGTTTTCCTTCAGCAATTTTTATGTACAGGTTTCACAGTAATTCTTTGTATCGACCAATCAATAAGATCAAACATAAACATAATAGCAATAACATAAATCATCTATGAAGTGGATGCATAAAAGGGCAGTTGGTATAATTTGAAGAAAGGATATTAAACTCACGTTCAATTTGAGCTTGATATTCCTTTGCATGAGGTGATTCTTGAACCTCTTCCTCAAGCGATGAATCCCCGGGATCCTCATCAAGATTGATGTCAACGATCTGAGAAAAATCAATTCCATTCTGTGCAAAAACCATTTGACTTTTCCTTTTGAGCTCCTTTATCTCTCGAACCGTCTGCATGAAAGCAAAGGAAAGATGAAGAAAAAATACACCTCTGGTTAATATTTGTTTTACCAACTACCATCATGTAACAAAATTAGATAAAATTATTGTGTACAATTAGTAAAAGAGCTGTATGAATCCACCTATTGATAATTCCATAAATTTCATGAAGTGATTGGAATTATGTAAGGCAGCTAACAGATTTTGCAAATCAAAACAACCTCCAATCAGCTTCTCTTAAGCTGCACATAATGCAGTGCTAACATGCAAATATCGAAAATAAGTCAATTTCATTTTCATTTCAAAATACATTGGATGTTCCCCAACATAAAGATAAATTTGGTATAAAAATCATTCTCTGTCTGTTTCTATAAACTCAATTAATTAAAAAATTGAACTCTCTCTCTCTGCTTTTCATTCTTTGTTTCAAATGCATAGGCAACAATGACCATTTGTTATTATTTGCACCTTTATTTCCTTTAAATACATTTGTGTCATGTTCACTTGCAGTTACTATTCCGACTCTCTCTAAGCAAGATTTATTTCTTGATTTGAAGTAGTGGAGAATATTCCCTTTATTTTCACATCTTTCTAATCTACTTTCAGCCAGTTCACCTGACATATTCTCTTCACACCTCTCACATGAATCATATGAAATGCAGCGTGGCATCCAATTATCAGCATGAACTACATTGCCATTTACACATCCCTCCCTCTCTAACTATTCTGTGGAACGTTTGAATTACTCAAGAGCTAAAAATATGGGTGAGAATGAGAGGAGGGAAAGGATAATCATTTAACCCATTGGATACTAAGCTTGAGATAACTACACTATGAACATGACAAAGAAAGCGGACAAAATATACAGTTCCTCAGGTAGACAGAGGAACATCCCTTCACTGCTATTATGTGAAAATGTGTAGAACAGGTGTCACATGCATATTCACCTTTTTACATAATAGCAGTGAAGGGATGTTCCTTTGTCTACCTGAGGAACTGTATATTTTGTCCGCTTTCTTTGTCCGCTTTCTTTGTCCATCATATTCATAGTGCTAGGACTGAAGTCTAGGATAACTGGGTGTTCTGTACCAAAACCAAATCATAGCCAATGGCTTATAATTTGTTGTTATTTTGTAATGTTCTTATCTATGGATAGCTTGATTTTACATAGACTCAAGCCTGTGTTATTTGGGGCTAAGCAGCGAGTTATAACTGCTTGGGCTAAGCTACCATCTAATGGGTTCACAATTTATCAAATGGCCAAAACAAAACAAATCTGATAATAGAGTAGAAAATTAATCTTAATGAATGTTGTCAGCTAGAATTCAATGTGAAAGGATTTTCAATGACTCAGGCCTAATAAACAGTGCTTGTTGTTTTATGAATTTGGTCAAACAAGGAGTTTTCTTAGTGGGTCTAGGCATCTAATATGCTTTTCACACTGGCAATATTTTCCTTAACCCCGTACTATAGGTGGGGTTAAGGGGGGTCTTAACCCCACCTATAGTACGGGGTTAAGCCTATTCCACTTTCTGTTCACACTGGCTTTTACCAAAGTGGGCTAAAGTTGGCTAACCCCACCTATAGTACGGGGTTAACTAACCCTGCAAAATAGCAGGGCTAACTCCGCAATTGTGGTGCTAACTCCTGCTAACCCCGCAATTGCGGTGCTAAGCAAACGAATGAGAACAGAAACGAAAAATAGTCCGGTACTACGCAATGGAGCGTATCGCAGCTGGCCAGATGCGAAGTATGTCCTATCATAACATACACGATATCCGGGGTTAACGAAATGCAGTGAGAACAGCGGGAATTTTCTTATTCCGGAATAGGCGCTAGTACGGGACTAAAAATAGCGAGTGTGAAAAGCCAAAAAAATAGTCCGGGGTTAAGGATAGTACGGGGCTAAGCAAAGTACGGGGTTAAGCAAAACCAGTGTGAAAAGAGTATTAGACCATAAGTACTATTTGCTATGCATTATAATATTTGCTAGAATCATTACTATTTTTAAGAACTAACAATTTAAAATAACAGAAATGTTATTAGTAGACACCTATGAAGTATCAAGTCTATAGACAAAGCAATCTGGTATGAGAAACATTGATGAATCTCTCTCTCGCTAGCTAGCTCCTAGCTCTACTGATGAATCACTGTGCATACATGATGAGGAGTGGGTGGGTGGGTCAATATGAGTCTCTAGCTCACATCTTAGGTTTGGGTTTCTATCCTCGTTTGAGCTAGCTCAATCATCCTAACTCACTGGTGCACCACTTCTCATGCATGGCAAATCTTCTTATAATATACCTGCTTTGTGAAGAAATGTATTTCAGAATGTTGTCAAAACAAATCAGACTGTTCAGGCAGAATGATACCTTGACAATGATATATATATTGTTTTCTTTGTGTGCTTTAAAACACAGCTGTTCCAAACCTGAATTTTTAACAGTTATTTCATAAATATATAGTTTCTTTTATGGGACTATCACACTAATGCTTAGTAGTCTTAATGATCTAACTGGTTTTGATTTTGAAAATTCTTAGTTTCTTAACCTTAGGAAACAGGGGCCTTAAACAAGAAACTGTATATATCCCAGTTGGTTGAACAGATGATTACTGTATAAGATGTATGTATGAATATGCTATCTTCATGAGATAGAAAATTGTTTTAAAAGCACTGAAAATTCCTGATTAACAATATTTCATCCAAGCTATTACTAGAATTGTATTTTTACATGTTGTTTTTATGTAAATTGTGTTTAAACTTTGTAAAATGGAACGCAAAAAAGAAGAAGTATAGATTTTTGCAATTGATCTCCCTATCAGGAGAATCCAGAATGGATTAAAACTCCATTCCTAAGATGTAGTGTTGATAATTGAATAGTATGAAATGAAATTAAATAACATAGAATTTGAAGGTTGAGCTATCCCTTTAAGGTTTACCCAGTGACTATAGAGATGGACAGAGTCGCTAGATCTCACTTCATGAATATTGAAAAACCCACCTGAGGTAGTTCACTCAACTATGCACGTATAGATAGAACCTCATACACAGGGCAACAGGTAAAAAAACAGCTACTAGTAAATGCTATGCAACTCTAGATCTCACTTCATAAATATTAGAATACCCAGAAGATTCACAGTAAGCTGCTCACTCCACCGTTCACAAACACACAGAGGCTCACACACAAGACGACAGGGAGAAAATACTATCAACTATCATAATACACAACGCTCAATTTAATGAACCTTGTAAGATATAACAAAGAACAATATCATGCTGTAAGAGCAAGGAGGCTTTTACTATGTATACCTAGACACAGAGTTAATGCCCTTCAGGCTCTCAATAGATAATATACAATATGATGGGTAGAAAATGCTATACTGCATATAGCAACAATCAAATGACTATTCAATGGCAATACCTCGTAAAATATACAAAACTCCACACAATATCCTTTGTATTGCATTGACGGAACCAAGTCATATAATCTTCCCAGACCCAATATTACAAGCCAGTTCCCCTCTGGTTCTCATGAGATAAAATATGAATAACAAAATATTTTGAACAACCAAAATAGAACACAGTTCCAAAGGGGAAAAAGGACATAACATATGATAGAAGAAGAAGAAAAAAGGCAAAAAGAAAGAAAAGGGAAGTACCACCTGAAAAAATATCAATATTTATCCAGAAAGTATAAGACTTGTTGTATTATCAGTCAGTCTGCCCTTCTTGTATACTCATGATAAAGAAACTACATGTACCATATTAATTGTGATATGAACATGAAGTAATCAAAATTGCAAGAATTTTCTCTGAGAATAGCGTTTTAATCCATAACATTCCAATTAAAGTTCAGTAATTCCCTGTTCAATTGTTTAAGAAGGAATTAAATTTAAAGCATGAAATGAATAATAGAGTTTATAAAAGAACATCAGTCAATGAATACATATCTTTTCTGAATTAATTCTCTGTATGGGGAAAAGGTCACAGCTCCAGGCTGGTATGAAATAAAAGTCATTCTGATGCAAGCCAATCTAATCTACTCATATACGCAACAAAATAATGGGAAGCAATACTGAAGCATTTGACCAAAGGGCTACATCAAAACCCTTTCTTGATTAATTGAATGAAGTGACATTTATATCGCATTGTTGCTGTTTTGTTTCAGTTACGGCTAAAGGTCTGTGAACTTCTCCATATACCAGGACAAAAAACCTCATAATTTGAACACTTCACTGAGAAAAGAAATTAACGGTGTGCTTTAAACATTTCCACAAAAAGTAATTTACAACTCAGGCATTTTACTCAAAATCACCTCACAATTTGACAATTTGAACATTTCACTTAGAAAAGAAATGAAACATGTGCTTTAAAAATTTCCACACAAATCATTTAAAACTAGGGCATGTTGCTCATATCACTTCACTCAGTTTTGTTGAGAATTATGCGAGATTACGTGGTCAGTATTTGCAGATTATGCATTTCCTCTCTAAATTGAGCAATTTCCATAGATTGACTGGTCTCCTTGCAGGTGTAGTATTGGGAAGTGTTATAGGATGTAATTTAATAATGCTCGTTATTTCCCAAACCAATTGGATGCAATTGAAACCAGGGTGATGAGAAGGGCTGGGTCTTCATAAGGGTGTTACAAAAATGCAAGCAGTAGCTGATACAGTAAAAAAAAAAAAAAAAAAAAAAAAAAAAAATGAAAATTCAAATCCAATCTGAGATTAACTCAAGAGATTACTAATCCAAAAGTTAAGCTTCTGATTAAAGTTTTTGGTGATATAAGATTGGAGTACATAAAGAAGTCAAGATCTTTCCCAATCATCTCAAACTAGAGCATTTTTATTCCCATGTTGCATCCGTTGACCTATTTTGATAATCAATTCTAGCCTGAAGCTGATTACAATCACTGAATGCCTGATCCAGTTCTTATTTCTAGCCCAACATTCATGAATATTGGACTCCCCCGTGAAGAAATGGAACAAGCCCAGTGGCATGCACCTAA